TTCATAAATTTAAAAAAAAAACTCTAAAATTAATTATTTTCGATATATTAATGTTTTATCAGAATAATTTTTTTTATATATTAATTTATTTATTAATATTAGTATTTCGTTAGATCATTATCTATATATAATTCGAATATTTACTAAAAAATGTAATATATGCATATTTAAGAACATAGAATTAATTTTTTTAATTAATAATAATTTAACAAATCTATTTTCAAAAATATCTAACATTGTATTGATATATTCTTCAGATGTAAATATTACCTTCAAGGGCTGGAATTGTGCACTGCACTCGCGCATTGCCCATGAATCCAATTGGACAGGAACAGATTGGTTTGTGATTAACGGTTTGACAGATAGAATTGATGCCGCACGCGCCAATGCAGGGATCTTTGCATTTCTGCGAAAAGCAGGCTTTATCACGCGGACAGTCTGAATTAATAACACATTCAGGATAAATGCAAACAGCGACACCATTTCTCACTCTGCACTCGCCATTGTAATTACAAGGCGATGGACTGCAAGGATTGGTTTCTAAAACAAAAATGCGTATTTTATAATAACAGTGAAACAATCTGGGAATAATATGATATATTTCATACAAAATTCGAAATTTTTCAATATTTACCGATCTTTGTATAACATTCCTCAAAAGGATTGCCGATCAACGGAGATGGACAACTGCAAAGTGGGCTATGATTGATCGTCTTACACACTGCCTTGCTACCGCACACATTCTGAGAACAGGGATCTTTGCATTTACTCTGTATGCAAGCTTTATCACCCGAACAATCCGAGCTGAGGACGCACTCCGGATGACAACCAGTTACACTCGTTGGAACGCCTTGCAACCCAGGCAAACATTTGCAAATTGCTGTATTACCAATTTTCTCGCACACAGTATTCGGACCGCACGGTGATGGATAACACGGATCCGTTTCCTTAGTGTCTAAACACAAGAATAATAATAGGAATTAATAACGTTCATCAAACGTTCAAAAACGTTCAAAAAAACGTTCAAAAAAGTCCGAAAAAAAAGAAAGGAAGCTTAAAAGATAGAGCATTTTAATCTTTTATGTTTAAGAACTCTTTATTCAATTAGAAAGATAGATGATTAAATTATACATAACACTGCTGTTCAACAAAATTTGATTTCTTTTTTTGCAATACACGTATGAATATATAGTCATTTCTGATGTATTTTTGTTTGCAGAATATAAATCTGTTAGCCAAATTTGACTACCATGTCACAATTTTGAGAAAAAGGATGTTAGAGATTAAAAACGATATTATTTTAAAGATTTTTGACATAACAGTAGCAGCAAATTTTTTTTCTAAATTTCATTAGCCACGCGAAAATCAACGTTAAACTTTAAAATGAATTTTATTTTGTTTCATTATGATTTAATGAGTGCTGCAACATCAAAATTTTTTTAATCATTGTTTTACCTCTTTCATGTCATTTTTCTCAAAATTGTGATAACCAAATTTGACTAACGGATTCAATAAGTAAAGTACATCGGAAATAATTCACACTCGTATTGAGAAAAATGATGTTGGACAGTGTGATTAGAAAGAGAGAAGATATAAGCAAACTTTTACCTTCCACAGGGACTTGACAGAGCGTGAAAGCGTCTCCGATCGTTGGCAGTGGGCAAGAACAAATAGGGACATGATTGGATACGGTACAGGTTGCACCAACGCCGCAAGTACCAGGACAAGGATCTTGACATTTCGTTTTTATACATGCTTGCGATTTTGGACAGTCGGTATTCACGAGGCACTCAGGTTGACATCCTTGATACGGATTTCCTCTATAGTTCGGCACGCACTCGCAAATAGCTGTGTCAAATCTCTCGTGGCAGTACGCATTTATTCCACACGGTGATGGGCTGCACGGTCTAGATGGTACCGTTGGTGGTGTTGGAATTGCTAAAATAACAGAAAACACATAATTAATTTCATAGTCATTTTATACGATTTAAAGATTATACATGCAGTATATATTATATGTAAATTAATGTTTTTAAAGATATAGTATTATTTGCATATAAGAACAAAAGTAAATAAATATATGTCTGTTGCATGCAATGTACATGTTTTTATACATATAAAAGTGTAACATATATATAATACATATATTTAAAGATATTTTGTCACGTATCGGTATATGATAGTCGAATATAGCATTTAAAAAATGATGCGAGATCAATATGTGACAAAAAATTGACACGTGCAGTTCTTTTAAATACATTAATTATGTACACTAAGGATATTTACAAGATCTAGAATTTAAGAAATCAGTTTTAGAGATTAAAATGTTGATTGACAAGATGCCGAAGTAATATGTCCATCAGGTCAGTTATTACGGGTAAAGGTAGCGGGGATTTTCTTACATATTATCTCAGAGCAAACTGTGAATGGGTCTCCAGTGTATGATTCGGGACAAGTGCATCGGGCTTGGTGCAAAGTGACTTGGCACAGTGCATTGAATCCGCATAATCCAACACACGGATCGGTACACTTCTGCTTAATACATGCTTGATTGGTGGGACATTCGCTGTTTACATGGCATTCGGGTCTACAATTGGGTGGAGATCCTATAAAGGTGGGCGAACAGGAGCAGGAGGGTATGTTATCGACGGATACCGCGCACTGCGAGTTCAATCCACATGGTGAGGGGTAACACGGATCCCTGGTGGGTTCTACATCCGGTGTTGCTGGCGATAAAAAAAGAAATTCATTATTTGTTTCAAAATTAAAGAAAAGAGATCTCAAATACAACAATACAAACACAATCGAAGAGTCATCAAGAAGACATCTAAAAGACACATTCATCCTTCTCATGTCAAATTTTAGACGCCTATACAATGTCTCTTAGATGTTTGCATTATTTGCAACATCCTGAGTAATTACTTACTTATGGGGAAACAGTTGATAAACGGGTCACCGGACTGTTGAACGGGGCATCTGCAAATTGGATTATGATTTCGCACAACACATAGCGCGTTCTGGCCACAAGCGTTTTCACAAGGGTTGCGACATTTCATGTTCACGCAAGCCTTGCTCTGCTCGCAATCGGTGCTAACGAGGCATTCGGGTCTACAGCTTGGCGGAATACCGAAGTAACCAGGTAGGCAAGAACATGAGGCTTGATCTCCGAATTCACGGCAAACGCTGTTAGGTCCGCAAGGGGAGGGCTCGCAGGGTTTGACGCGTGCTATCGAGATGTAAGGTGGTAAAATTAATTGGTTTTTTTCAATGATAAAACTCCTCAGAGAATAAACAAAAATAGGGAGACTCACATTGCACACGTTTACAGAGAGTGAATGGATCGCCTTCATAATCCTTGACACAGCTACAAGTAGATACATGATTGATAACCGCGCATTCCGCATTCTGGCCGCAAATTCCGACGCAGGGATCCACGCACTTATTATTCGCGCAAGCTCTATTGAATGGACAATCAGAATTCTGCACGCACTCCGGCCGACATTCCCGATATGGATCACCACGATATTCAGGTATACAATTGCAAATTCCATTACGGCAATCGGCATTCAGTCCGCATGGTGACGGATTACATGGGTCTGATGTTACTGTAGGAATTTCTGTCGGAATCGAAAGACGCAAGTGTAAAGAATGATTGTTTTATATTATTAGTTTATATTAAAAAAAAAAAAGAATTTATAAGTGGGCAACAAAAGTTCTTACGCATGGGCGCTAGGTAACAATTGCTGAAGGGGTCGCCTGTGTATCCATCGAGACATGTGCAAGTCGGAGTATGCTTGATTACAGTGCACAAGGCATTAAAACCACAAGATCCAGGACAAGGATCTCTGCATTTTTCTCTAATGCAAGCTTTATTACTGGTGCAATCGGAATTAATTGAACATTCGGTACGGCAGTAAGGTGGCGATCCAATATAATTAGGCATACACGTGCAAGACGGATAGCCTCCCCTGTCTTGACACGTGGAGAATGGCCCACAAGGCGATGGGACGCAAGGGTTTATTTGTAGTGTTTGTACAGGCATCACTGGAATAAAATTTTATATAACAATCTCCGCGCGTATACAGGACTATCTTTCAGTGACGCGATGTTCTCACAATAAACTTTTAAACCGGGACTTACAGGGCATGTCGAAACACTTGACGAAAGGATCTCCAATCTGATTAGGTCCGCAACTGCAGAATGGACTGTGGGACAGGGCATCACACTTAGCGTTAATACCACATACACCTGGGCATGGATCGACGCATTTCTGATTGACACACGCGCGATTTATAGGGCATTCTGTGCTAACGATACATTCAGGTTTACAGTCTGGGGGAATTCCTTGATAAGTGGGCAGGCACGAACAACTGGCTTTTCCATTTACATTGAGGCATCGACTATTCGTACCGCATGGTGACAATTGACAAGGGTCGCCTATAGGCACCGGAGCTATGCAAGAAAATGAAATAACGTGTTTTTGTAAATAATTGATAACAACGGATAGATGTTTGAATCCACTTACGAGTTTCCTGTATGGGTTCACAGTATCTGAATGGGTCTCCGGTATATCTCGATTGGCAGCTACACGCCGGTATGTGGTTGATGACTTCACAAATTGCATTGACACCGCATGTTCCTGGGCAAGGGTCCTGACATCTGTTTCTTATGCAAGCTCGATTGGATGTACAATCAGAGTTGATTACACACTCGGGTCTACAACCTTCGTACGGATTTCCGTAGAAATCGGGCAAACAAGTACAGGAAGCCGAGCCAGAAATTTCACGGCACATAGCATTTGCGCCACATGGTGACGGCTGGCACGGATTTAATGGAACTAGCGGTGTGTCGACTAAAATAGAGGGCCATATATTGTTTAACAATTATCAAAATAATATGTCAAACGTAATTTATAATAAAAATCACGTAACACATATTTTCTGCGGTAGTTGCTTTTCTTCAAAACTTACTTGGTCGGGGATTACACTGGATAAATGGATCACCGGTAAAGTCACCGGCGCAAATACACATCGGGGTGTGACTGACAGTTCTACATTCAGCATTTCTACCACACGATCCTGGACAAGGATCACGGCATTTTTGATTAATGCAAGCTTGTTGACTAGGGCATTCACTATTACTAACACACTCCGGTCTACATCTAGGCGGAGTGCCGATAAATTGGGGCAAGCAAGAGCACGATGGGGCGCCATTGAGGACTCGGCATACCGCATTCGGACCGCAAGGTGAAGGTTGACAGGGATCTACGGGTGGTTGTGGCTCTTCCGCTGCAATGTTTAAAGTGTTACAAATGTCTTGACATAATATTAATTATATATGACAATATAAGTCTCTAATTTCATGAAATTCTTACGTTGACGAATACATTGAACAAATGGATCTCCCGTGTACAAAGGTGGGCAACTGCATATAGGATTGTGATTCACGACGGTACATTGTGCGGTTAATCCACATGCACCGAGACATGGATCAATGCATTTTTGATTGCTGCAGGCTCTGTTGCGGGCACAGTCGGCGCTTATAAGACATTCTGGTCTACAGGACGGTGGAGCGCCTCTAAAGCCGGCGATGCATGCGCAAATGGCTTGATTATTTGACACACGACAATGGCTATTTGGACCACATGGGGACGGATTGCACGGTTGTTCCATGATGGTTGAATCTATTTAATAATAATTATTTCACTTTTACATCAGGAAATATTCTCGAAATGAATACTTTCAAATCGCGCTTGAGAGTCGTACAAACCTTGAAGAGGTGTACAGGATACGAATGCGCTACCAGTCATATTTCTTGGGCAACTACACATGGGCAAATGATTAACAACAATGCATTCCGCGTTAACACCGCATGTCCCAATGCATGGATTGCGACATTTATGAAGCATACATGCTTTATCGCGAGGACAATCGGTGTTAATCACACATTCTGGTCGACAGCCGACATAAGGATCTCCTAAGTATTCGGGTATGCATGTGCAAACTCCGTTGTTACATTGTGCGTTCTGACCGCACGGTGATGGATTGCATCGGTCTGGGGGAAGTACTAAAATGTGCACAGATCAAATTGCAGTGATTTATAGAGTAGTAAGTAATATGCTTGCTAGAATAATAACATGATGGAAACTCAAGTTCTTACGAGGTATCTGAGGTAAAACGTTGCAACTGATAAAAGGATCGCCAGTATAGCCTTCAGGACATATGCATGATGGTGTATGATTAATAACAGAACAACGTGCTAAGAGGCCACATGATCCTGGACAAGGATCTCTACATTTTTCTCTGATACAAGCTCTATTAGCGGGACAATCCGAATTTATTGAACACTCGGGTCGGCAATTAGGTGGAACACCCATGTAATTTTGCATGCAACTGCACGCTGGTGCATCACCAATGGCTCTGCATAAGGCATTGGGGCCACAAGGTGAGGGCAAGCACGGATCCTTTAGATATTGGTCTTCTGGTTTCGAAACTACGGAAAAGTATAAGTAATATTAACATTCTTAGTGCATATAAAAATAGATAGCATTAAAAGTTAATAAGAGCAACTTAATTATAATAAATTTTAAAATTTTATAAAAAAGTTATCATGTCCTACAGAACATACTTGCCACCGCGAAGCAATAGATGAAAGGATCGCCTGTATAGCCATTTGCGCAGACACAAATAGGACTGTGATGTACGACTTTGCATTGAGCATCGCGACCACAAGTACCGATGCATGGATCTACACATTTTTGATTAACACATGCTCGGTTCGAACCACATTCAGAATTTACTAAACATTCCGGTCTACAATTTGGCGGAGTTCCAATAAACTGAGGCAAGCAGGAACAGACAGCTTGACCATTATTATTGGTACATTGACTGTTGGGGCCACAAGGAGAAGGCTTGCATGGTTCACGCTTCTCATCGGGAACTATAATAATATAATTACAGTATCACTTTTATATATTATTTTCTTACACACACACATGTATATATATATATATATATATATATATATATATGCCACTTTTTATATTAATTTCTTACATTTGTTTAATGTTACTTACTGCTGAGAGTCTGATAAATGCAGTTTATGTATGGATTGCCAGTATAACCAGGGATACAAGTGCAAATGGGAATATTGTTGACAACTTGGCAATTGGTATTGGTACCACATGAACCGGGACATGGATTCTGACATTTTGATCCAATGCAAGCTAAATGTGCGGGACAATCTGACGAAATAGTACATTCAGGACGGCATCCTTCATAGGGATTCCCAATATATTCAAGCAAACATGTACAAGAACCGACGCCATTTTGTTCTCTACATATGGCATTTGTTCCACAAGGGGATGGTTGACAAGGTTGTCTTAGTGCCGGTGGTTCGCCTAAAAAAACATAATTTTATCCTATCCATAACTATCAACTTCGAATTAATATCTTTTTAATTAATATTATAGAACTTTATTAATTAAATTTCATAGTCGTAGTATTACTATAATAATCAAATTGTAATATTAAAAAGAATTTTATTATTATAACAATGAAAACACAATGCTCACTCAATAAGGCGTTTATAAAAAAAAAACACTTAGAAATCAAGTCTATTTGAACTTACTGGGCATGATCGTGCATTGAACAAATGGATCGCCTGTGTAACCGACGCGACACGTGCAAGTGGGCACATGATTAACGACGTAACAATTAGCCAGAGAGTGACAAGATCCAGGACATGGGTCTCTACATTTTCGATTAATACATGCCATTTGACTCGGACATTCGCTGTTACTAATGCATTCTGGTCTACAGTTCGGTGGTGTCCCAATGAACTCTATCGTGCAAGAACACGATGGCGTATCATTGATGACTTGACACTGAGAATTAGGACCACAAGGTGATGGTTGGCACGGGTTTATCGGTTTTGGAATATCTTCCGCTTTAAGATAAAAATATATAAATTATGTGCTAGATAAACGTGCGAGATAAACGTGTTATTTTTAGTAATCATAGAAACCTACGTCTTGGTACACAACGTATAAACGGATCGCCAGTAAATACAGGAGGACAGGTGCAAACTGGATTATGATTCAACACTTGGCAACGAGCGGATATACCACACGCACCAAGGCAAGGATTGCCGCATTTCATGTTGATGCAAGCTTCGTTCAGTGCACAATCAGTATTAACTATGCACTCGGGTCGGCAGGCTGGCGGATTTCCTATGAATCCAATTATACACGTACATACTGCTTGATTATTAAAATTCTGACATCTACTATTTGGACCGCAAGGCGATGGGTTACATGGATTCTCAATAACGGTTTGATCTGCAAAAGCAATTATTATCGAAATCGTTTTCGTTTCAACACATCTTTGAGCAAATTAAATTTTTTCGCGACAAAATAATTCCTGTAACAGGAATCTTTAGTTAATAATTGTCCCTAGTATGAAAATAACATACAATTGTCAATTAATTTTACCTTGAATGACCGGATAACACACAGCAAACGCATTGCCGGACATTCCATCTGGGCAGGCGCACATTGGAGTGTGATTTATCACTGTACACTTTGCGTTTTGCCCGCAAACTCCAATGCACGGATCAAAACACTTGTTACGAACGCAAGCTTTGTCTAATGGACAATCCGGATTTTGTACACATTCGGGTCGACATGCAGTGTAAGGATCACCATGGAATTCAGGCATACAGGTGCAAACGCCGTCACGACATACTGCGTTAGCTCCGCACGGAGACGGATTACAAGGATCTTGTGGTATAGAAGCAGCTGCAAATGTCATTATCCATTTTAAATTAACGTTTTCTTTTAAAGATCTAACGATACAGAACATATCTTTTCAGTTTCGTGTTTTGAAATTTCCTAATATACTGTCATTTTGTAAGAATACCTTCACATAGTAAAAATATTTGATGTATATAACTCATTAGAATAAATTTATAATCAACGTTAGTTTTTTTTCACAATGCTTAAATTATAAAAAATTAAATATTTAAAATTTGCTAAGAAAATTTTATTAAAAAGTTAATTCAGAAAACTTGTATTCAACTTGATTCTTAATTTCTCTTTTATCATATATATTATTTAACCAGGAATAATATATATGTTGTATGAAATAATAGATAAGAGGATAAATGCTTACGAGCAGGTTCCGGAAAGCAATTAGCAAACGCATCCCCGGTGTAACCTTTCGGGCAGAGACAGACGGCCATGTGATTAACTACGAGGCATTGGGCACCGATACCACACGAGCCAAGGCACGGGTCTCTGCATTTTTGTCTCAAGCAGGCTTGATTATTGTTGCACTCAGAATCAACGGTACATTCTGGCCGACAATTCGGAGGGCTACCAATGTAATTTTCCATACACGTGCACGTTGGCACGCCCGCGTAGCCGCTATCGCGACAAGTGGCAAATGGACCACAGGGGGATGGAACGCACGGATTTTCTGGCGTTTGAGGGATATCTTTGTCTATAACTATAAACGAATAATTTTTTTAATATCATACAAAATGTTTATGTACTTAAAAAACATACGCTTTCTTAATTTAAATCAAATTTTATATAATACATATATGCAATGACGCTTTAAACAAGTATCTTTCAGCGTACTTACACGTTTGGAAACATGTTACAAAGGGATCACCGGTAAAACCTTGATTACAACTGCAAATTGGACTATGATTAATCACTTCACATCTTGCATTGATGCCACAAATTCCGGGGCATGGATCAACGCATTTACGATTTTTGCAAGCACGATTTACGGGGCAATCGGAACTGACAGTACACTCCGCACGACAGTTCGGTGGAGTTCCAATAAATGTGGGTAAGCAAGAGCATACCGCTTGACCATTTAATTCACGGCACTGACTATTAAGTCCACAAGGAGAAGGGCTGCATGGATTAAGTTCTAATGCTAAAAAAAGAAGATTATAAGTTAAATTTTGTAGAATTCATGGTCGAAATAAGTGTAACATTCGCACAAAATTGTAAAAAATTATTGATTTGTGACTTGTACTGACAATGAATTGTTATAAAATTCTACAAATGTTACTACATTATAATTTTAAGTAACTTAAAAGTTTTGAAAATATTCCGATAAATCGAAAATTAATTATTAGATTAGATTAAACTGCATCTCATAAGAACTTGAAACACTTACACGTATCTTGTACAATTCTGTTACAAGAGACGAACGGGTTGCCACTGTATCCAGATTGACATGTGCACAACGGCGCGTGATTCACTACTTGGCAAATCGCATTATATCCGCAAAAACCTGGACAAGGATTCTGACACTTCGATCCGACACACGCTCGATCTGCGGTGCAATCGGAGTTTATCGTACACTCGGGTCGACAACCTTCGTATGGATTGCCTGTATAATCTGATAGACACATGCAAGAACCAACACCATTCGATTCGCGGCACATCGCATTAAAACCGCACGGTGACGGGATACAGGGTGTTGGTTTTACAGCATTTATAACGTCGCCTACGAAAAATATCAAGTTTGTTTTTAAGGCAATATCAATAGCTCTAGTAAATTATCAATGAGCATCCCAGAGAATCACCGAATGTATTTTCGATTGCAGATACTAAAATAATTTAATAAAATAATTGTCATAATAGCGAAGCATTGAGTTTGAATCATAAGTATTAAAACTATAATAAATTACAATAATAAATAAATTATATATGTATATATAATAATGGGAATAAAATAATATATACACGTATAAATATTAGTTGTAGTAAAAAGAAATCCATTATTTTTCCAATAGATGGCTTTAGTAATCTGTATCTCGTCTACGCGTGATAGATTACTAAAGCCATCTATTGGAAAATAATGGATTTCTTTTTACTACACCTAATAATAACAAAACAATAATACTCTTATATTTTATTTTTTACTTAAATTAAACTTGATTCTTAATTCAATCTTGATAAAAATTTAATTTAATCGCCATTTAATGTCAAAAATTAAAAATTTGCCATAATATCGACAATCAGAAATACATTCTGCGATTCTAAATATTTTAGACAATACATAATTACTGCACTTACTTTGCTTGGGATTACATAGTACAAACGGATCTCCTTCAAATCCGATAAGGCAAACACACATAGGTGTATGACTTATTACTCGGCAATCAGAATTAATACCGCAGGAGCCCGGACATGGATCGCGACACTTTTGATTGATGCACGCTAACTGTGTAGAACATTCACTATTGCTAACGCATTCGGGTCTACAATTTGGTGGATCGCCAATAAACTCTGGCAAGCAAGAGCAGGAGTATGCGTTGTTTACAACTTCGCATTTACTATTAAGTCCACATGGAGATGGAACGCAGGGATTAATGGGCGTTGGAGATTCTATTGCTGTTAGGAAAAATAAAAAATATAATGTTTTCTTAACGATAAATACCTCCAATACTAATCAACTGTTGCTTTTAAATTACTCACGTCTTGGAATACACTGAGTGAAGGGATCTCCGGTTAACTCAGAGGAACAAGAACAAATCGGATTGTGGTTAACTACAGTACATTGAGCTCTGATGCCGCACGTTCCAGGGCAAGGATCTATACATTTTTGATTATTGCAAGCCCTGTTAGCGAGGCAGTCAGAACTAATAATGCATTCCGCTCGGCAATTAGGTGGTGCATCCAAGTATCCAGGGAGACACGAACAGACAGCTTGTTCCTTTATCTTTCGACACTGACTATTCGGTCCACAAGGTGATGGATTACATGGATCTTTTGGTATCGTGTCTGTTTAAATGTTAAAAAAAAGAATATAATTATAGCAAAGAATTACAATATCAATAATTTATGACACAATCTGAAAGTAATCGAATGAGTACCAGCTATTGGGGAGCACTGTACAAACGCGTTGCCAGACATCCTCTGTGCACAAGTGCAAACTGGTATGTGATTTATGACAGAACACAAGGCATTGACACCGCAAATTCCAAGACCACACGGATCTTGACATTTGTTCTTAATGCAAGCCCGGTGTCTTGGGCAGTCTGAATTTAGAATACATTCTGGATGGCATCCAAAGTTTGGATTTCCTTGATATTCGGGAAGGCAACTGCATATACCGTTAAAGCATTGTGTATTTGCGCCACAATTTAAGCACGGATCTGTCGGTTTGAGTGTTGTATCTGAAGAATGAATTTTAACACTTAGTTTGCGATAAAGCTTATTGTGAGTTTGAGATATTTTTCCATACTCTAAATATCATAAAGAAATATTCTCAGGCTTGTCTATTACTATGAATGATATTATAAATTTTCTTCTGATTGTCTTACCTTCTTCGGGAATTAGTTTACACATTACAAATGGATCTCCAGTGAATCCATTGGAACAAGAACATGTGGGTGTGTGACGAATGACGTTACAAATTGCTCCTACTCCACAAACTCCATCGCAAGGATTTCGACATTTTCTCTGTATACACGCTTGATTAGTCGGGCATTCTGGATTAACTGAACATTCGGGTCTGCAATTGGGTGGTGTTCCTACATATGTTGACAAACAAGCACAAGATGCTTGACCGTTAATGTCACGGCATTCTGAATAAGGTCCGCAAGGTGAAGGTGCGCAAGGATTCACAAGTGGACGAGGTTCTTCATCTTTAGCTATGGGCATACAAATATATCTGTTATATATATTTTTTTTTCCTTAAATATCTTTGATAATGTATTTCAATTTTTCTAATTATCAAAACAATAGAAAAATAAAAGAGACATTTCATCTAATATGAGAAAAAGTTACTTAAAAAATTTATTTTATTTTAAAAAAATATGCAAAGCAAAAAGAATTTTTTCTCAAAAGAATATATATTAAGAATTTAAGAAAATATGTCTTCGATTTTTTAATGATTGACTTATATCACTTTATAATTTCGAATTTATGAGATGTTCTATTTTCAATGATTCTTACGTGGCATTTCAAAGCAGGCAACGAATGGATCACCAGTAAAACTAGGTGGGCACGAGCAAATGGGATTATGATTAATCGTTTCGCATCTTGCGTTGGAACCGCACAATGTACGACAAGGGTCGTTACATTTATATGAGATACATGCTAGATTGAAAGCGCATTCAGCACTAACAGTGCACTCAGCGCGACAATTTGGTGGGCTAGCTACCCATTGGAAATCAGGTAAACAAGTACAGACGCTCGTATTATCCACAACGCGACACAAGCTGTTAGGTCCACATGGTGACGGTTCACAAGGATTACTGACAGCATTTTCTCCTTCTAAAAATTGCATTGTTTCATAAATTAACACATTTCATTATGAACCGAATTGCAACTAACGATAAGTGTATTCAGATACAATGTAATCATACCTATTTCTATCGGAGTACAATATGAAAAGGCATCGCCGGTATATTTAGGATAACAATTGCATACTGGCAAATGGTTAACAACCTGGCATAACGCATTGCGCCCGCATGATCCCGGGCATGGATCTCTACATTTCATATTTACACAAGCTAAGTTGGCAGGGCAATCCGAATTTAAGACACATTCCGGCCTACATCCTTCGTACGGATTGCCGGTGTAATTCGGCAAGCACGTACACGAACCGGCACCGTTGAATTCCTTGCACATCGCATTAGAACCGCAAGGGGAAGGATTACAAGGATCAATTGGTGCAGGCGGCAATGGTGTGGCTAAAAAGTATTAGTTTAAGCATAGAATTTATAAAAATATTCAAAAATTGAACAAAAAACCGCGGATACTTTTTAAATGACCTAATATATATTTATATTGTATAATATAAATTTATGTAATTTGTATAATTAACAAGAGAATAAAAAAAAAGATATGAATGTTTCTGTATAAAACGGATATCAAAATCATACTGATTTTTGATATTCTATAATTGCGATATTTCATTTTAATAAAATTTATTTGTGATAATATGTAATGCTATAATTCTGGTGCAAGATTTTCTGTGTTTTAAACATGTAGCAAATTATCAAAATCATATCAGTTTTTCCCAAATGATACTTACGTTCTCTTAAGATGCATTGAGTAAATGGATCACCGGTATAACCATTTATACAAGAACACATCGGGGTGTGACTGACAACGTGACAATTAGCGTTCGCACCGCAGGAACTAATGCATGGGTCCTGACATTTCTTATTAATACAAGCTAAATGATTAGAACATTCGCTGTTACTGACGCACTCCGCTCTGCAATTTGGCGGACTGTCAATGAAATCGGGCAAACACGTGCATACAGATTCATCGCCGCGTGGTTGGCATTGTGAATTGGGACCGCAAGGGTTTGGTTTGCATGGTGTGACGGGTAATACAGGTATTTGAGCTAAAAGGACAAAGTTCGATGCATAAAAAAAAGGACAAGAATTTTCTCGAAATGAATTTTTCGCAATGATCATAAACATCGACATAACAAGCAGTACTTACGTGGTGGTAAATAGCATCTAACAAAAGGATCACCCGTTTGAGGGGGTGGACAAATGCAAATCGGATTATGATTCACTACTTGACAGGATGCGCCTAATCCACAACTTCCAGGACAAGGATTCGTACATTTCTGATTGCTACAAGCTTCATTCTGGGGGCAATCCGTGCTGACTATGCATTCGGGTCTGCAAGTCGGAGGACTACCTAAATATCCTCTTATACAGGAGCAGACCGCCTGATTATTTATAACACGGCATTCACTATTCGGTCCACAGGGTGAAGGGGTGCATGGATTAGCGAGTGATATGTCTAGTATACAAAAATAATAGATATTTAATCCCCAAGAATAATTTACGAAAAAATATTACTTCACATAATTTTATAGTATCGAAAATAAAGGTAATCCTTATCGTAAATATTGGGAAGCTTATATATACCTTGTAGAGGTGTACATTGGCTAAATGCATTGCCAGTCATATTTCCAGGGCAACTGCACATGGGAATGTGACCGATCACGGTGCATAACGCGTTAACAGCGCAAGCTCCAGGGCATGGATCCAGACATTTGTTATGTATACACGCTCTATCGCGGGGACAATCCGCATTTAGGACGCATTCCGGTCGACAACCTACATTCGGATCTCCTCGGAATTCCGGTAGACAAGTACAGATACCGTCAAAACATTGCGCGTTAGGACCACAGGGTGACGGAATGCAGGCATCTTCGATCGGGGATGGAGTCGCTGCAAAATATAATCGATATAGGGATTAACGAGCTCGAACCACGCTATGATTCATGTTAAGATTTCAAGTTAGATACTGAATGGCTCGTATCGCTTACTTATTGCTGGCAATATCTCGCAAAGAACAAACGTATTTCCAGTGTATCCCTCGGGACATCTGCATGTGGGAATATGGTTAATAACCGAACACAGAGCATTGGTGCCACACGATCCGGGACATGGATCCACACATTTCATATTGATACAGGCCTTATCACTCGGACATTCCGAGTGTATGATACATTCAGGTCTACAATTAGGTGGTTGACCAATATAATTTTCCAAGCAGGTACACGCAGGAGAATCACCGATATTTCTGCATTGGGAGAAACTACCACATGGGGATGGCACACAAGGGTCTTTCTGTACTAGCGGTGGTGTTATAGCTGGAAAACGTTTGGAGTTATGATTGTGGGGTGACGAGTATGTGATATATAGCAGTATATGTTGAGAGATTATATTAATATAATCTTCATGAATTTGATGGTCTTACGTGGAATTAAAGAGCATATGGTGAATGGATCTCCGCTGTAACCGGACATACAACTACAAATGGGGCTATGATTAACAACCACACAATTAGTATTGAGTCCACATGGGCTTGGACAGGGGTTCACGCATTTGTAGTCCTTGCACACTAATTGTGGGGAACATTCTGAGCTAGCAACACATTCAGGTCTACATGCAGGTGGAGTTCCAACGTATGTCGGAAGGCATGAACAGACAGCCTGTCTGGATACTTCTTTGCATTTGCTGTTGGGTCCACAGGGTGATGGGGCGCAAACATTCTCATCGGAGATTATTTCTAGGAAAATTTAATATATTAGTAAAATTATGTAGATAAAAACATCCATAAAATTTCTAAAATTTAATTATTTCTAAATGTAATTAATTTTTAATTACGTTTTAAAACTGTACATAAAAATATAAAATATAAAAAATTAATTTTTTTCTTTGAAAAATATAAAAATTTTAAATATTGATTAAAACAGTTTAAAAAAGATTTTAAATCTTTTGCTTCAAATTTTCTTTTTAATAAAGTTAAAAATTTTAAAAATACGAAAAGATGTTAACTACATATGGAACATCTCATTTAAATTTCAATAATTATGTAATAAAACGCATATAAAAACCAAAAAAATTAATATACAATATTTTTTGGATTCAACATTTTGTACGATATTTCTATCATAAAAAAATTGTCGCAAAATAAAATTAGACTATTATGATTAAAAACACTTACTGTCTACAGAACAAGAAATGAAAGGATCTCCGGTATATCCAGGAAGACATGTGCATATCGGTTGATGATTAACGACCGAGCACTCGGCGTTTCGACCGCACATACCGGCGCAAGGATTGGCGCACTTGTTTCTTACGCACATTAAATTGGATGCACAATCAGGATTAATAATGCATTCGGGTCGACACGCTAAGTACGGATTACCGACATAGCTAGAGATACACTGACATATTGCGACACTATCTCGCTCTCTACATATCGCATTCGCACCACATTCAAAGTTTACGCAAGGCGACGATACTGGTTCCAGTTCTATTGGGCGTGCTAAAACAACATAAAGGACAAATAGATTAAGCAACGTCGCACAAAAGTAAGGTCAGTTAATTTTGAAGCTTTATAGAAAAGGTTTTATCCCTTACGTATCGCAGAGCAACGCGTGTACGGATCACCGGTGAGACCGTAAGAACAGACACAATGGGGTACGTGTTGTATCACATGACATTCCGCATTTTCTCCGCATAAACCTGGGCAGGGATCCCTGCATTTTTGTCGCACACAACTTTGATGGCTGGGGCACTCAGGATTTGAAATACATTCAGGTCGACAATACGGGGGAGAGCCTTTATATTCAGGTAGACACGAGCAGGATGGCAAATCGTTAACGACCTGGCACTGAGCGTACGGACCACAGGGTGAAGGCTGACAAGGGTTTATTACTACAGGTGCTATTGGTTCTAAATGGAATAACAATGTTTCGATCTTAATTTGATGGCCGAAGTTTACGAATCTAAAGCTTACATACTTTGAATCAAGATTTCCTTACTCATAATATCGCATCTGATAAATGGATCGCCTGTGTAGCGCTCGGGGCACGAGCAAACAGGGTTGTGATTGACGACTACGCATCTTGCTTGGATGCCGCATGTACCGGGGCAAGGATTTTTGCATTTTTGATTAGCGCAAGCTTCGTTCGGCCGACAGTCAGAACTAAGGGTACATTCGGGTCGACAGAGAGGCGGTGCACCAAGAAACTCTGGTGCACAAGTACACACAGCTTGTTCATTTAATTCTCTACATATGCTGTTTGGACCACAAGGATTCGGGCTGCATGGTCTTGTCACGGAAGGGACTGCATATAATAGGGTAGATAAACTAATTAGCATATTTTCAAACACGTGAATCAGATTTCTCGCTTCTGATATCATACCTCTTATTACATCACAAGAAATGAATGCGTTTCCAGAAGTACCAGGGGGACAACTGCACATCGGTGTGTGATTTATCACATTGCACAAACTGTTTTGTCCACACGTACCTGGACAAGGATCGACACATCTGTTTCGTATGCATGCCTTGTCGGTTGAACAATCTGTACTAAGTACGCATTCTGGTCGACAGCCAACGTATGGATCACCAAAATATTCAGGTAAACAAATACAAATGCCATTGTTGCATTGAGCATTTGGTCCACAAGGTGATTTATTGCATGGATCAATTGGCTGTGTTGGCTCGTTGTCTATATATTATTACAATTATCAAATGAAGTAAATACATTGGAAAATATATAATTGCAAAAATGAAGAAAATTTTGATATAAACTTACAGATCGGTATAGGCTGACAACCAATAAATGGATCACCAGTATAACTTTCTATACATCTGCAGATTGGAATATGGTTATGAACAGTACAATCGGCATTCAGACCACAAGAACCTGGACAGGGATCTTGGCATCTCTCACGAATACAAGCTTGATTGCTCGGACAATCGGCAGGAATAACGCATTCGGGACGACAATTTGGTGGTGTACCAATGTAATTAATCATACAAGAACAGGATGGATAACCGTTGACGTTGCGACATTGCGAATTAGATCCGCATGGTGAGGGTATGCAAGGGTCTGAGGGCAGGCTTGGTAAGTAACTCGGAGTAGCTAAAATTTATAATAAAATCTCAACAGATATTATAAAAAATGCTTTTAAAATAAAATTTAATTAATGTAACTATTTTTTAATTAAAAATATAAAATATTCTGTGTAAAATTTTTTTTACATTTTTAAGAATATAACTTCACTATTTCATGTAACAAAAGTTTCAAATAAAAACAAAGGAAGATTTTAATTCAAATACAATTATTTCTAAAAAAATAAACTATTAACATTTTTTAAATATAAAAAATTGACTGTAGAGTAAAAGTTATAATGTATATAAGATTTGTTCCGCTTACGTGGTACAAGTAGACAGCGTATGAATGGATCACCACTGAATCCGGGTTTGCACATGCATATTGGACTATGGTTTACGACTCTACACGTCGTGCCTTGACCACAAGAGTTAGGACAAGGATCAACACACTTATTATTTTCGCAAGCTCGATTTGTCGCACAATCTGTGCTAACTGTGCATTCGGGTCTACAACCGGGTGGTGCGCCGATATAAGTCGGTAAACAAGAGCAAACAGCTTGGCCATTGCTTTCTCTACATTGACTATATGGTCCGCAAGGGGATGGTTGACAGAGATTAACATTATCTGCTATAATCGCTGCAAGAAAGTCAGGTATTTAAAATCACATAATTGTCTATAAAATAAATGCGCACGAGATTTTTAAGCGAGTTCTTACGGGCTTCAACAATAAGGTTGCAGAATATGAATGGATTTCCCGTGTACCGCTCGAAGCAAGTACAAGTTGGTGCATGATTAATCACGTAGCATTGCGCGTTTTGGCCGCATGTTCCTGGACATGGATCTTTACATTTTAAACCAATACATGCTTGATTGGACGGACAGTCGGAATTGAGTGTACACTCAGGTCTGCATCCTTCATAAGGATTGCCAATATAATCGGTCGAGCACGAGCAAGAACCAGCATTTTGCTGAACTCTGCATACTGCATTTGCACCACACGGAGATGGGGTGCATGGCGTGGATATACTAGGCTGTATGTCGACTAAAATAAGAATAAAAAAGTAATTTGATTATCTATTCTTAAACGAAAACGTACTTGATAAATTGTAAGCTCATAATAATATAATATTAATTTCGTTATTAATTCTTTCACATATAAAAAGTTTGTGGAATAATAGAAATCGAATAAAAGTTGAAATAAAGCTGACTTCTAAACTATTCTAAACTAAAATATTTGAATTATTCTTTAAAATTCTCTTACATTGTTGGGGAGAACATTGCGTAAACGGATCGCCAGTGTAACCGGGAGTGCATGCGCACATCGGTGTGTGACTAACAACATTACAAACGGCATTGATGCCGCATGCATTGATGCACGGATCGCGACATTTTTGGTTGATACAAGCCATTTTGTTCGAGCATTCGCTATTGCTGATACACTCAGACCGACAGTTCGGGGGTGATCCAATAAATTCTTGCAAGCATGAGCAAGAGGGTTGATCATTAATCACTTGGCATTGTGCATTTGGTCCACACGGTGATGGTTGACAAGGATTAAGCACAGGTAACGGTTCCTCAGCTTTAAAAATAATACCGATTAATATTAACTGAGGCACTATATTGAAATTTATTTATGCTATGCGCATATTCGAAGTAATAAAATAAAATAAATCACGGAAATTAGTTTGTAAAATGTTATTTTAGAAAGAATAAGAAAAAAATTTTCTTACGAAGGGGGAAACAATTAATAAACGGATCTCCGGTCATTCCAGAACGGCAGACGCAAATAGGGTTATGATTAATGACGTTGCAGACTGTGTTGCGACCGCAACTTCCCGGACAAGGGTCCTGACATTTTTGATTGGTGCATGCTTCATTCTTCGAGCAATCTGAGCTAATTACACATTCGGGCCTGCAAGTCGGAGGTGCACCGACAAATCCACTTATGCAACTACATACAGCCTGCATATTATTTTTTCGGCATTGACTATTCGGACCACACGGAGATGGATTACATGGGTTGCTAATAGGTGGTGCTATAAGAAGAAAAAATTTTAATTATAGAATAAAGATTTGATGTACTAAGAATATACGAATATTATTTAATATTAAACAAGATCATTTAATATTGTATTTTGATATATCAGTTGTTACGGTTAAGATTTCCAAAGAATACCTGGCACGGGAGAACATAGGACGAAAGCATTTCCATCCATTCCCGAGGGACAAGTACACATAGGAACATGATTGTACACATTGCACATAGCATTTTGGCCGCAAACACCTGGACAAGGATCCACGCATTTATTTCGCACACATGCTCGCGTATTCGGACAATCGTTATTCAATACGCATTCTGGTCGACAACCACTATAAGGATCCCCAAAATATTCTGCTATACAAACGCAAATTCCTCCATTACATTGCGTATTGGGTCCGCAAGGCGAAGGTGTGCATGGGTCCGGTTTGGAAGGGGCAACAATGACTGCAATAATTCCGCGTAAGAAGAAGATCAAGTATATTATAATAAGAGCAACAAAAAATTATTATTATATATTTCTGATGGGGAATCTTACGTGGTTTTACGGAACATCCAATAAAAGGGTCGCCAGTGTAATCAGGCAAACACGAACAAATTGGTACGTGATTTATGACACTACATTCGGCCATGATGCCGCATGAGCCTGGACAGGGATCTTTACATCTTTGCTGCATGCAAGCCATATTAGCTGGACACTCTGCATTAATTGTGCATTCTGGTTTACAATTTGGCGGACTACCTCTGTATGTTGGTAAACAAGAACATGATGGCACTCCTCCTATATCACGACATTCGGAAAACATGCCACAAGGTGATGGTATGCACGGATCTCTTGTAACATCACTTACAACAGGCGGACTCACTGCAACGAATTATGAACACTTTGAGAGTTATACAATTGTTATAAAATCTAATTGATTGCATATAACATTTCCATTTCTACACAACTTTTAAATTAATCAACAGTGAAAGACTTATTATTTCTCATTATGCCAGAAATTAGACTTTCTAAATGTTATCAACGTAAGTATTATTTATCGATTCAAAGAAAATTAATTAAGACAGAGTTATACGGATCTCGGAATAATTTTCAGTATTTTGGAAATAAATATTTGATATCTGAGTATATTTATTTGGGTGTATATGTATATAAGATATCCCATTTTAACTTTCGAAATATTTAAAAAAATATAAGATATGAAAAAATGCTTCAAATAAATATTGTATGGATCTGGTACAATAATAATAAAATATAAAAATAATAATAAAATCGAATTTTTAAAAGATATTCATACAACATATCATACTTATATGAAAAATGTGACTATTTTTCTAAAATAAAGTTGTATGATTTCATTTACATAATATGATTCCTCTAGCTATTCTGTATAAAAGACTATTATTTATATTTTTCGAGATATTTTAATGTCAAAGTTAAAACAGGACACTATATATAGGTCACCGAAAATTAATTAGACAAAATTGAAAATCGTACCAGGTGTCTGGAAGCAAACAGTAAATGGATCACCGGTAAAACCGTTCTTGCAAGAACAAATCGGATTATGTTTGATGACTCTGCAATTCGAATTTCTGCCGCAAGAGCCAGGACAGGGATCTTGGCACTTTTGATTCAAACAAGCAAGATTGAGGGAACAATCCGAACTTGTCACGCATTCAGGGCGACATGCAGGTGGATTACCGATGAAAATCGGTAGGCAAGAACAAACTGCTTGATTGTTATTAACACGACATTGGCTGTTGGGTCCACAAGGCGACGGATTGCAAACATCTCTCGGAGTATCGACTAAAATAATAGATATATCTTTCAAATTTTTAAGATATTAAAGAATGAAAGATTATTTCAAGTATTCATTTACAAAAATATTAAGATATAAGTATTATTACACATTCCTAAATTAATATGCGTTAAAAAAATTATTTAAAAACAAAATAAGGTAATATTGTGATTCTTGTCAAATGTATAAAATAAAAAATTTAAAATAAAACAAGAAAAATGTACAAAATCTCAATAAGCTAGATATGAAGTTTCTCAGTATTCAAGAAAATATTCGTACCGACATCGCGTATTACATTGCAGTATTGGAAGGGATTGCCACTATAACCGGAAATACATGTGCAAGATGGTCGATGGTTGATAACTTGACATTCGGCAAATTGTCCACAGACACCAGGACATGGATCTTTGCACTTTGATTGTACGCAAGCAAGAATAGATATGCAATCTGTATCAACCACGCATTCTGGTCGACATCCTTCGTAAGGATTGCCAACATAATCTGGTAAGCAAGAACAGGATCCGACACCAAACTGTTCCTTGCAAATGGCATTAAAGCCACAGGGTGACGGTTTACAAGGTGATAGTGGGATTGGTGTGGCTAAAAATAGAATATAAAGTAGAAAATGTTTCAAGTAAGTAATTTTTAACAGTAATTTTTTAAGAAAAATTAGAAAGTTTATGTCTAGACTCTAGAAGATGGTCAAGGTTCTATAATTCATATAAAAATAAAAAACTAAATGTGCTCGGATCTAAATATAATTTAATTTTGTATGTAAATTTAGTTCTGTATGCATAAGATCGATGCTTACGTGGTCTCATGGTACACTGTGTAAATGGATCGCCGGTGAAGTCGCTAGGACAAACACACATGGGTGTATGACTCACTACACGACATTCGGCGTTAGCTCCGCAGGAACCTTCGCAAGGATTCCTACATTTCTGATTCATACACGCTAAATGAGCAGGGCATTCACTATTGCTAATGCACTCGGGTCTACAATATGGTGGCAAACCCAAGAATTCAGCTAGACATGAACATGAGGGAGCATCACCTACAACCCGACACTCGGCATTTGCTCCACAAGGAGATGGCACACAGGGATTTGTTTGCAACACGGGTTCAGGTGCTAATGAAAAGAAAAATATCGAATAAAATTTAAGACTAAATTTAAGACTAAATAAGTTTAAAACCAAAAATTTATGTTATGATTATTTTAATCAATATGTTTAAATTACTCGAGATGTTAGATAAAATAAAGCTTATTATTAGTTTTATTTCCAAAAATAAAAAATTGAAAATCCTTTTAAATTCTTATGAAATGTGTGTTTATTGTAGAGGAGAGTTTTGAGTGTGTATATTTTGGTGCACGCGCGCCAAATGCATACCATTTAAGTTATTTCTTATTATTTTTCTATTTAGTACTGATTTGTACGTAAATAAACATTGGAAATTGTAACTTGATATTTCAAACATTCTATTATTACATATTAAACTTTTCACCAGGGTTGGCATTATTTCACCCATCCCAAAAAAACCCAAGTTTTTTTAATTTTATCCACTTAAAAAAAAACCCGAAATTTATGGGTTTTATTGGGATTTTGTATAAGAAAAATAAATTTTTAAATCGGTAACACATAAAAGAAATATTGAAATATTGTATTTATAAATATTGAATCAATATATTAGGTGTTGGAATTAATTCGTAGCGTTTTACAAGTGATGGGAAGTACTTTCATTAATGTATTTTTTAATGCTCATGTGAAATAAATAACATTCTTTCATTAAAAAACGCTACGAATTAATTCCAACACCTAATAGATATATTAAACTAACTGAACTGATATCATGTTAACATATTATATCAATTTTAATACATACAGGGTACAAAAAGTCTCGGACCCCTTAAATTTAAATATCTCGAAAAGTATACAATTTCAAGAAAAATATCTCAAAAAAAAGTTGTAGGATTTAAAAAAATCTACTAATCACATCCTTAGCGATGCTACTCAATATCAAACGGATGTGATCATAGATTTTTTTAAACCCTACAACTTTTTGTCTGAAACATGTTTCTCAAAAATGCTTATTTTTCAAAATATTTAAGGGGTCTGGAACTTTTTATATACTAAAATAAATTATGTCAAGACATAATAGAAATTTCGAATTTTTATTATAACGGGACATAATAAAAATTCTGAATTTCTATTATGCCTTGACATAATTTTAATTCATGGAAATATTATTATGTTACGACATAATTTTAATTCATTATTAAAAATCGTAATTTTTTTAAGACAATGTTGTCTTTATCATTAAAATGTTGTCTTTATCATTGATTAGAAGTTTTTTTCATTATTTATATAAAAAAAATTCTGTTTATAGATTTTTTTTAAACGATCTTTAACTTGTTCAAATTTTTGAAAAAATGTATACAGTATCTTATATTCACAACCTTGACAACCTTGACAACCTTGACATTTATTTTAAATGTTTGCACAATTTTTGTAATATTTTTATTTTCTAGATTAGTATTAAAATGTTGACATTTCTTATTTTCTATTTGTTGAGTTTTCATTATAAAGAAGTGTTTTTTTTTACATTTGAAAAATTTATCACTATAATATTTTTACAATTTATTTATAATTAATTTTATTTGAATATGTAATTAAGTAATGATAAATACTAATATAATGATAAATAATAATAAAAATATCGATTTAGTTATAATAATGACAGTATATCGATAAATTTCAGCTCGTTGTCTTACTCTCTTACTTTCTTATGCTCTTATTCTTTTACTCTTTTATTTATTTAATAGATAAATTATCACGTATGGAATAACTGGCCCTAAATATTATATTAAGTAATAATATAAAATATCGATAAGACATGATTTTACGCGACCGGTATGCATTGGATAACTCTCCTCTACTTGTTTGTTATAATAACAAATATTGTGAAAAGTAATAAAATTATCTTCTAATTTTGCTTTTTACTGCCAATTTTTAACGTATTTGAAACGTACTTAAAAAAAGCATAATATTTTCTTTTATATCTCTACATATTACATCTAAATATTAAACAATAAGCGGAATTAAGCAATAAACATTAAAACAGATATTAATGTAAATTGCTTAATGACTCTTTGCAATTGATATTTGTTCTTACGTCGTGGAATACACCGAATGAATGGATCTCCGGTGAGTTCTCCGCAGCTACATATGGGATTATGATTGATTACTTGACATGTAGCTTGAATTCCGCATGCACCGAGACAAGGATTTATGCATTTTTGATTGCTACACGCTTCTGTCAGAATACATTCAGAACTGATAGTACATTCCGGTCTGCATGCTGGCGGAACACCAAGAAAGCCTACCACACATGAGCACACAGGTTGCCCGTTGTTTTCTCGGCAAACACTATTGGGTCCACAGGGCGAGGGTGAGCAGGAATCTCTTTTTGGGATATCTAACATTCGATATAATAGCAATCTTACACTTTGTTCCCAAAAAAGTAATACAAGCAGTATCAATAACGATAATAGTAGAAAATAAATTGTTCAAACTTTAAAGAACTTTTTTTTTAAATTGACTCTACGATTGTCATTATCGATAATCATTCATAAAAATTATAAATCGATCACATTGATTATTATTATTATTATACCTTCGACTATGGAACATTGAACAAAGGCATTGCCGGCCATTCCGGTCGGACAGGTGCACATAGGTACGTGATTGTATACGGAACACAATGCATTTCGACCGCACGTGCCCGGGCAGGGATCCATGCATTTATTGCGCACACACGCACGATCGTGGGCGCAATCAGTATTCATGACACACTCGGGACGGCAACCCACGTAAGGATCACCTTGATATTCAGGCAGACATATGCAGATGCCATTGTTGCATCGTGCATTCGGTCCACAAGGGTTCAAATTACAAGGGTCGATAACTGCAGGTGCCGCTGTAAAAGAACATAGATAAGGAACTAAACATTATGACAGAATTTGAAATAAAACTTCACGAAATGTAACGCATAAGTTTCTTTCACGCAATATTTCAGACATGAAATCTGCGATTATATTCGTGTCTAACGTATGGGATATTTCTTTCAATTTATGTCAATTTAATCGATGCTGTAATGATAATTATAACGGAACAATGTAAAAAAAAACTTTAAAAAAAGCATTAAATATTTATTTTGGTTTAAATTTCTATTTTTAAATGATAAATATAGCAAAATATTGACCAAACCAGACAATGCAAATATTAAATCCACATAAAAATGTCTTTTCGAAATTTCGAAATATTTATGCTATTTAAGCAAATTTAAGTTCTTTTATTATTTAACATTCGCTGAAACTAAAACTACTACCAAAATATATCTAAAAAGCGTCAAGAAGTATTGTGCATCATACTTCGCGAAATTTTTTTTTAAACAAATTTTTCATAGCTTTAGGACTTTGGGAAGTCTCTTACTTGTTGGTCTGGGATAACAATTAGTGAAAGGATCGCCAGTAAATCCTTCAGAACAAGTACACACAGGTATATGATTGTAGACTGTGCACAATGAAGTGATGCTACAGGAGCCTAAACAAGGATCTCTGCATCTCTCATTGTTGCAGGCAAGATTCATCGGGCATTCGGAATTTACGCGACATTCAGGACGACAATTCGGCGGTGATCCTCTGTAGGTCGGGAGACAAGAGCATGATGGTGTACTACCAATATTCCTACATTCCGCATATATGCCGCATGGAGACGGTAAACAGGGATCTTTCGAGACTACAGGAAAATCTAGCGATTCTAAAAATCCAATAATAAAACAGCGTAATCATAACAAACTCGCAGTTTGTTCCAGAGATGTCTATTTTAACAATAAATCAATTGCATTTATGAGAGTGTTATAAAAAAATAATAAAATATTATTGCATATCATATGATATATCATATATAGCATATCAAAATGATTGATATTAATGTATGATATTATGACAAAGTGAATTGGCAACATGAATGTCATGTTATTTCAAAGTTTTAAATCATGATTGTGGATTATAAAAAATAAACCAGTGACATGAATGAAAGAAACTGATGACCATAAATGAACGAATGAATGAAGCGAACAATCATGAAAAATTAAGTTAATGAGAGAGATCAAGTTCTTACGTGGGGCGGGGAAACATCTCGTAAAGGGATCTCCGGTATAACCGAGATTGCAGATGCAGATGGGGCTGTGATTGATTACTCTGCATTGTGTGTTTATACCACATGGGTCCGGGCAAGGTGATATACACTTCTGATTGATGCAAGCAAGATCTTGAGAGCATTGACTGTTCATTACGCATTCAGCTCGACAGTTGGGAGAGCTGCCAATAAAATTCGGGAGGCAAGTGCAAACGGCAAGGCCATTTATGTCTCGGCATTTACTATTTGGTCCACAGGGAGATGGGCTGCATGGATTTGTTTCTGGCAGTACTGTGTGGAGAAAAATATTATTATGTACTATATTTTCTATGAATTATTCTAGGCAGTAATATATCGTCCTTCCATGTTTAAATTCAAACTAATATTATTTTCCTCAATATAATAAACTTCGTATTATATTGAGATCCATATTAAAAAATAAAATAAAGTACTGCAAAAATTGGAATTTAAATTATCTCTGTATATGTGCGATCAAACAGATCGCTTTAATTATTTTTTAAATTGAAAATATGTCTTGTGTCTATAAAATCATAATAAATATATTTGAATTTATTTTAAATAACAAAATAAAAATAAAATCTGAGATAAATAATTTTTTTTACTTAGATTATATAATAATCTTAAAATAGATTATATAATATTTTAAATAAATAATAATAAATAATTAAATTTTCTCTCAAATGAATCTAAAATTTACAATAACTTTCAAGTGCAATATGTTTCTATAATTCTATATTATATGTGTGTGCATGTGCGTGTGCGTGTGCGTGTGTGTGTAAACATTCTATGATATGTATGCAATTGCATACACATTGAAAATCGGAATTTTTTAAATACAATAAATAAAATATTTAATATAGAAATAAATCTTACGGATTTCAACTATTGGGGAACAGAGCGTAAAAGGGTTGCCGGTATAGCCGGGAATACAAATACAAATCGGCAGATGATTAACCGATTGACATTGAGCATTCACTCCGCATGTTCCTGGGCAAGGGTCTCTGCATTTCAAGTTCACGCACGCCATTCTTGTCAAACAGTCAGAATTTTGCGTGCATTCAGGTCTGCATTCTTGGTAAGGGTCACCTAAGTAGTCCGGCAAACAGGTGCACGAGCCAACGCCATTGTTCTCACGGCAGACGGCATTGATGCCACAAGGGGAAGGCTCGCATGGTTTTCTAATGTCTAGGGGTGTATCTATTATAAAAAGAAATTTTATTTAGACTTAATTGAACACATGCAGCATTTTTCTCCAAAAGCTGGTGCTAGGCTGAAGAATTCTTTGACTTTCAATGATTTTTTTCGCATTCGCATTTTCGTATTGCGAATTCCTAATAAGCAATAAGCCTCATGGTAGTGCGACGTAATAGCTTTGCATAGTTTAATGCTGGGTTATCATCAGTTGACGAATATCTCGAAGAGTTTATCAGTTTTAGTGGGCAATGTTTTCTAGCAATTGTTTCATCACAAGCGTGTTTCGATTTTCTATCGAATTAATTAATCAAGTTAATTACAGAGTGCGAGGCACGATTGGTAACATATTATTTCTTTAAGGACGGGACGACTATCCTATTTTGGGATCTATATTGTAGTGTGTTTCATCGGAGTTTGTTAAAACTTTTGTAGGAGTTGCGCTCTTTGCAGTAACACTTTTTGCATTATTGATCTATTCGAGAATGATATGTGCAGCATGATTATTGGGTGGTCCACAGCATATGTCAAAGGTCAGAGTGCTCTTACATGTGAGTGGGTCTTTAACGCTATTCGTTTCAACAGGTCAGTGCGTGCAATAAATATTTCAACAATTAATCGCAGGGATTAGGTTCGCTTAGTTGCTCAGTGTCAAATAAGGGTACGTGCAGCCAAGAGCCTATTGGGTATAGGCCCCGTCACCAGTTTTGTGACTATCTGTCATTATTGTTTTTTCCTGCATTAGGTTTCTGGGTCAGTACGCTCAGGCATGGGGAATGATTGCGTGCTACATTGTTTTTCTGTTAATTGTAGGGATTCGGGACGTGTATACATAATCTTATGTTATTGATTTTAATCAAGAATGAGTGCAATTACGAGCCTAATATCTATAGGCCCCACCACCTAACACATGTGATTTATTGACACCTCCTGTTAGAGATCTCTTTGTGATTATGTGCTACTCTGTCGCACAAATATATTCTCACATTAACTTTATGTAATGGTTAAGACATGACAAGTTTCAGTCTGACTTCTAAAACTATATAATAAAACTATATATCTGACAATAACGGGACAGAACGGTGATGATTATCAACAGTTTTTCAAATTTTAGCAGATCTTCTAAATAGTTGATCATACTATATAATAAATAATAGTTAAGCAATTTTGAGAAATGTTTCAACAAATTACAAGATTTTAAATCGCTATAATTTTGAGCATCGGTATTATTTGATAAGAAACAAAAACTCTTGAACTATCATCTTGACTTATTATTATCATTAGTCATATTATAGAAGCACTTACCTGCCGCGCCTGCATGCAAACGGCGACATTTGCGAAAAGGATTGTAACAAGAAGAAATAAAATATAACAGTTGTGTACTCACCCTCGGGTATTTGTTCACAAGCGCTGAATGGATTTCCGGTGTATCCGTTGATGCACGCACAAATCGCGTGGTGATTCACTACCGAACACTGAGCGTTCGGACCGCACAAACCGATACACGGATCGCGACACTTTTGTTGCATACAAGCTAACTGCGGCGGGCACTCAGGATTAATCGTGCACTCCGGTCGACAATTGGGCGGCAAACCAACATAATTTTCGATACACGAGCACGCAGGACTGTCACCCCTCACTTGACACTCTGCGTTCGGACCGCAAGGCGATGGCAGACACGGATTCATTGATATAGGTGGTGTTTCTATAAAGAAATATATTTAAATGAAAAAATTTAGTATTTAATGAAGAATAATTAAATACAGTTTGAATAATTAAAATATAATTTGATTTTTTTATCCAAAAGACATATATGTATAAAATTCAAAAATTATTTTTAAGCAACAAGAAAGCACAGGTTTCTTTTAATAATTTGCGCCATTAACAATTTATAAAGATAAAAAATTAATGGAAAATACATAGAATTGCAATTGATCCCATTATAAAATACTAAATTTATTAATACTGTAATATCTAATCTAAATAACTTACTTGGTTGCGGATAACATATTGTGAAGGGATCGCCTGTGTAAGATTCAGAGCAGCTACATATTGGATTATGATTAACCACTTGACAGTTCGTATTTTGTCCGCATGTGCCTGGACATGGATCTTGGCATTTATTATTTAGACATGCTTGTGTCAATGGACAGTCAGCGCTAATAATGCATTCTGGTTTGCAGGCGGGTGGACTGCCAATTAAACCAGGTTGACACGAACATACAGCATGACCATTCACAACTTTGCAGATGCTGTTTGGTCCACAAGGCGAAGGTGTGCAAGGCTGTTTAATGGTATCTGCAAATGAGATGTGAATAATAGTTATCGAAAACGATAATGTAAATATATTTAATATAATATATCGTAAAATTATACTTGAAAAAATAAATTATTTCCATTTAATATATACATATAATTAAAATTAATAATAAACGTAAAATTATATAAAAGTTATTATAATATTTATATATTAAATTATATAAAATCATTTTATTTTTATTTCATCATTAGTTGTACTTTTATTTTAACATTCATATATATGTACATTTATACATATATATTCTTATTACAAAATATAATTAAAATATTAATAAATTAAAATATTAATTAAATTATTATAAAATATAAATTTACCATCTGGTATATGTGGTTGGCATAGAAGAAATGGATTTCCAGTGTAACCAGGTGGACAACTGCACATTGGGACGTGATTAACAACGTCGCAACGTGCGTCACGACCGCATGTGTCTGGGCAAGGATCCACGCAATTTTGATTGATGCAAGTTTTGACACGAGGACAATCTGAATTCATTGTACATTCTGGCCGACAATACGAATATGGATCCCCAAAGTAATTAGGCAAGCACTTGCATACACCTTCGTTACATTCTGCGTTGGGTCCGCAAGGTGACGGACTGCACAAATCTTCGGGAATCTTTGGTTGTTCTGCAACATTAATTTTTCACATTTACATAAATCAATAAAGAAAATAATGTAAAATTTTAAGAAAAGAAAACTTTTATTACTTTATGTTATTTTGAAATGATTTATCATTATCATGTATTGTACCTTGCGATAAATTATCAAATATCAATAAATAATATTTGAAATTCTACTTATTTCTACAACATAAATTTCGTTCGGTACATAAATTATCTATTAGGTGTTGGAATTAATTCGTAGCGTTTTACAAGTGATGGGAAGTACTTTCATTAATGTATTTTTTAATGCTCATGTGAAATAAATAACATTCTTTCATTAAAAACGCTACGAATTAATTCCAACACCTAATATATACATATATTATATGTATATTTATTTACTAGATTATAAATGCGGTCAAGTTGCCGCTGTGAATGTTTCGAAGCATTTGATTAAGCAATCAGAAGAAAGAATTTTACTAATCGACCACACCCTATATTATTTATTTATACTTACAAAGTTTTATTTAAAAAATCAATTCATCATTTTATTTAAAAAAATTTATCTGTTTTTTCAATCAAATAAACAAAGTCATTTGTAGAAATTCAAATAAGACGCACCTCTAATTACTGTGCACAATGTGAAAGGATCGCCGGAATATCCAGGTTGACACAAGCAAACTGGTATGTGATTCTGTACTCGACAATCAGCATTTTGACCACAGGAACCAATGCAGGGATCGCGACATTTTTCAGAGATGCAAGCTTGATCCGATGGACAATCTGTATTAACTACGCACTCTGCACGGCAATTGGGCGGTATTCCTATGTAATTTTTCAAACAAGTGCACGCAGCTTGATTATTGACTATTTTGCACTCCGCGTAGAGTCCACATGGGTTAGGGAAACAAGGATCCATCGGTGGTAGCGGTACAACTAAATGATTAAATATATACAAATATAGATAAATATAGTAATAATAAAATAATATGTAACTTTTTAATACTATCTTTACATACGTAAATAAATAAATAGAACACGTTGAAGTTAATTAAATATATCTGAATAATTACCAGGTTCAGGGAAACATCTAGAGAAAGGATCGCCCGTTTTTCCTTGCGGACAACTGCAGAGTGGATTGTGATTAATAACACGACAATTGGCTTCAATTCCACATGTGCCGGGACACGGATCAGTACATTTGTATTTATAACATGCTCTATTTTGTGGACATTCTGAATTGACGACACATTCCGGCTTGCAATTTGGTGGTACACCAACGAAAGACTCTTGGCATGTGCACACGACTTGATTGTTTACAGCGCGGCACAAGCTGTTTGGTCCACAGGGTGAAGGAGAGCATGGATCTCTTACAGTAGGCTCGGTATCCACTTCCGGTTGTAAGGTGCAAGTCATAAATGGATCTCCAATGTATCCAGGCTCACAAGTACATGTAGGAATGTGATTGATCACTGAACACTGTGCTCGAACGCCACACACACCTGGGCAAGGATCCTTGCATTTGTTACGAACACAAGCCTTATTCGTAGAGCAATCTGCACTGAGGACGCACTCCGGTTGACATCCCTCGTAAGGATTTCCTTGATAATCATCGATACATATGCAAGCGCCAGCATTGTCTCGTTGCTGACAGATCGCGTTAGCTCCGCACGGTGAAGGTTCACAAGGATTCATCGGTTCCTCTGCAGAAAAAATTGTCTAGTATTAAATTGGCTCAAAATTGATTAGCTAAAAAAATGTAATGCTCTAATAAGATATAGACAGCAGAAATGTAAAAATAATCCCGGTAAAAAAAAATAAATGGTTTGATTTAAGAAAAATTAAATCTCTCTCTTGCTATAATATGGGTAAAAAAATCAGTCAAAATGAGTCATAAATAAACGTGTACCTTCTAACACGCATTGCACGAACGGATTACCCGTGTAGCCGAGTTTACACGAACAAGTTACTGCATGATTCACCACTTTGCACTCAGCGTTGTCTCCGCAGGATCCCGGACAGGGATCTTTACATTTCATGTTTATGCAGGATTTTTCCGGCGGACAATCAGGATTGATCAAACATTCAGGTCGACATGATGGCGGAATGCCAATGTAAGTGGGCAGACACGAACATGACGGTTGTCCATTTGCGTTCTGACAAAGTGCGTTTGGTCCGCATGGCGAAGGACTGCAAGGATCGCCCCGGTCTTTAGGTTCCGGTGGTACTGAAATATTGATACAACATTTTGTATTTTGGTCAATTTAATTTGTTTAAAGCTGTTGCAAACATCTCCTGCATTTATTATAATTTTCAAAATTGAGAAAATCGATCTTTGCTGTAATTCTTAAATATTACTAAAATTATATTTAATTGATATAAAATTATTAATATCGTTTTATTTGCAAACGAATAATTTAATTTTTCTTACGTGGAATATCGTAACAACTTCTGAACGGATCTCCAGTTTGTCCGGATAAACAACTGCATATTGGCGAGTGATTGATCACTTCGCATCTCGCATTCAGGCCACAGGAACCCAGACATGGATCTGTGCATTTTTTGTTTACGCAGGCTCGCGTTGGCGGACATTCAGAACTAACGAGACACTCTGGTCTGCAGGATGGTGGAGAACCAAGATAGCCTTGAAGACAGGAGCATACTCCTTGATCTTCGATATTTCGACATTGACTGTTCGGTCCGCAGGGCGAAGGCGTGCACGGATCCTTTCGAGAATCTGGCACTGCAGAAAAATTAATTTTGTAATTAACACAAGCTGACTTTAAAAATTTGGTGAAAAATTGGCGCTATAGTTATAATGGCAATGAAATGGAAAAAAAATATTAAAAAATAATAGTTTTCTTTGCATACCTCTAGGTTGAACACGGCAGCTAACGAATGGATCGCCAATATATCCAGATGGACAAGAGCAGACAGGAATGTGATTGACTATGTCGCATTGCGCGTTTTGGCCGCATATTCCGGGACAAGGATCCTTGCATTTGTTCTTCAGACAAGTTTTATCGCGGGCACATTCCGAATTAAGAATACATTCGGGACGACAAGCCTCATAAGGATTACCAATATATTCGGGCAAGCATTTGCAATCACCATTATCGCATATGGCGTTCGGACCACACGGAGATAGTGCACAAGGATCCATGGATGGTGATTCTGTAACTACATAGATAAAAATGTTTATTTTAAAAATAAATTAAATCAAATTGATCTGATTTTCATTTCGCAATTAATTTTTTGCAAAACAGCGAAGTATTTATTCATCATATACATAATGCGTTGCTCTATGTTTTTACCTGGTGGAATAATGCTGCATTGCGTAAATGGATCTCCGGTGAAACCTTCCATACACGTGCAAACTGGCAGATGATTTAATACGTGACATTGAGCGTTTATTCCACACGAGCCTGGGCAGGGATCCGCACATCTTTGATTGACACATGCGAGATGGCTCTTACATTCGGTGCTTAATATGCATTCTGGTCGGCATTGCGGTGGTACGCCAATGTAATTTGGCAGGCAAGAGCAAGCAGGATTACCAGATATTATTTGACATAAGGAATTTGGACCGCAAGGCGATGGAGTGCAAGATGGTGGCCGTTCAGTTATTGGAAGTTCGGTAGTAACTGAAAAATGATTAGCATATATCTTTATATCTAATAGAAATTTACGTAAATATATCAATAACATTTCTTTTTGCAAATTAATAAATATATAAAATTAATAAATATGTAAAATATAATTTGGAAAAGTGCGATTAAAAATTCATGTAGATATAATTTAACGTAAATGTAAAAAGCAATACAATTTTATCTCAGCTTATTTTTTTAGGATATTCATGTTGATGTTAATATATAATAATGTATAATAATATATAATATATATAAAAACGCTTATTATATGTAAAATCCTTACCATGTGGCGAGCAGAAAGTGAAAGGATCTCCTGTAAAACCGACAGGGCAAGTGCAAATTGGATTGTGATTTTTGGTAATACATTGTGCCTTCAATCCACAGATATTCGGGCAAGGATCTACACATTTTTTATTTATACATGCTAGATGCAGGGGACACTCAGCATTAACGATACATTCTGGTCTGCACGACGGTGGAATACCCCTGTACTCTGGTAAACAGGTGCATACAGCTTGATCGTTGACAACTCGGCATTTACTATTAGGTCCACAAGGTGATGGAGAACATGGTTCTAATGTTTCTAAGGAAAATAACATTGCATTTCTTTTAATTTCATACAAAAATTATTCTTAAAAAACAATTATTTAAAGTGCAGCCTTTCAATGATTATCGCGATTTATTTGCACGATTAATTATAATAGTGTGTATCCATATTGATTAAGTACTAAATGTAATAATTATTAGCATTATTTTAACTTAATTAATAACTATAATTAATATTTATTTTTCATTTCCAAATTTATAATTCCATTACTAAAAATACTTACTTATCACCTCTTCAATTTCGCAAGCGAAATATGGATCTCCAGTATATCCTGGTGGACACAGGCAGACAGGAACGTGCGCTTGTACGTTACAAATAGATAACGTTCCACAAGTATTGGGACACGGATCTGTGCATTTGAAACCAACACACGCCAACTGTGGTGCGCAGTCATTGTTTGTTTCGCATTCCCTATGACATCCCTTGATGATATCATACGGATCGCCTATTAGATCTGGTGGACATCCGCAGGCACCTGCTCCGTTTCTTTCACGACATTGCGCGTTGGGACCGCAAGGATTCGGCGAGCACGGATTTGACACGGTCCTATCTGTTGCTATAAATATATAAAATCAAAACTTGTAATATTTAGATATAATTACTATGTACTCTTCTTAAATAACTTCCTTCTTCAACAACTTAATTCTATATAAATATCAGAATTTCTATTCACCTGGTGGAGATGGTAGGACACAGCGCACAGTGGGATCGCCCTCATATCCTTCTGGACAGGTACAAATTGGAACGTGATTTTGCACTGTGCATCTGGCAATCTCGCCGCAAGCGCCAGGGCAGGGATTCTTGCATCTTTGATTAATGCACGCTGCGGTATTAAAGCATTCCGAATTGTCGGTGCACTCAGGTCTACAATTCGGTGCACGACCGATGTAGTTTTGCAAGCAAGAACATGCTGGATGAGAGCCTATCACTCTGCACTGAGAGTTCGGGCCGCATGGATTCGGTAGACAAGGGTCTTCTTCCCCCTTCGGCGACGGCGACGTAATGCTGATCCTGGTGCAATGAACGAAAGGATCGCCGGAATAACCGCTGGCGCAGCTACAAATAGGATTGTGATTCACTGTAAGGCAATTCGTGTTCTGTCCGCAAGAACCTGGACACGGATCCGCACACTTGTTATTGATGCACGCTCTGTTCTGTGGACATTCAGAACTGACAATGCAACCCGGTCGGCAGGTAGGCGGAACTCCGGAAAATCCTGGTTGGCAGAGGCACACTGCGTGTCCGTCGTGCGTTCGACAGTTGCTGTTGGGTCCACATGGCGATGGATCACAAGGATCAATTGGCACGGGCAACGGCGTCACGATGATAATGGTACAGCCGTTTACCGGATCACCGGTATATCCCGGCAGGCAAGAGCACATCGGGGCATGATTGATCACGCGACAAGTGGCATCTTGGCCGCAAGTACCAGGACATGGATTGACACATTTGTTGTTCAGACAAGCCTTACTGCGGTCGCAGTCGGCGTTAGTCACGCATTCTGGTCTGCAAGCAATGTATGGATCGCCAAAGTATTGCGGTAGACATGTGCAAGATCCGACTCCGTTTCGCTCGTTGCACACTGCGTTGGCACCGCATGGCGATGGATTACATGGCGTACGTGGTTGCTCTGTCGTAATAGGCGCTGGAATCAATTAATTATATAATAACTATAGGAAATAAATAGTAAATAAAAATAACTACATCAATTTAACAATTCACCAAGTCTTTATAAACAAATAACTTCTACGTACCTTCTATGATTGGTATACATTCCGTAAACGGATCACCCGTGTAACCCTCGTTACAGATACATACAGGATTGTGTTTTACGACATTGCAATACGTGTTTACGCCGCAAGATCCTGGACATGGGTCCACGCACTGTTCATTTTGGCACGCCAAATTTCCGGGACATCCTTCATTTATGACACACTCGGGACGGCAATTTGGTGCGCGGCCAATGTAATTCGGTAAACACGAACATGCCGGAAAACCGTCAATCACCCGACATTGGGAATTCGGTCCACACGGCGAAGGGACGCAAGGATTGTCACTTGGTTTCGGTAAAGGTGTTACTTCTGTTATGAATTAAATGACATGAAATCACATTAAAATGACTTAGATTTCGTAGATTTTTTTTGCGTGTTATTATTAAATTCTTATATTAATTTATAATCCAAGTAATTCAAATAATTCAAATAATAAGAAAATATTAAAAATATATAAATTAATCAAATTTTTAGTACATTGGAGATAAAAATTTTAAGACAATGATTTAAAAAAGAATTTGGAAACTTGCCTTCCTTAACGCAACCAAAGAACGGATCTCCGCTATAGCCAATCGCGCAGATGCAAACTGGATTATGATTGATCACTCGGCAGTCTGCATTCACACCACATGTGCCTAGACATGGATCTTTACATCTTTGATTGATACACGCCGTGTTTGGGCTACAGTCCGTACTAACTACGCATTCTGGTCGACATGACGGTGGACTACCGATGTAATTAGGTTGACAGGAGCACGCTGCGTGATTATCAATAACGCGGCAGTTGCTATATGGTCCACAGGGAGATGGTTGGCACGTATCGACCGGTGGTGAAGGTTCTACAAAAAATAGATAATGTTATATACTATTTAAACTCCTTCTTATTTATGGCTATATATCAAAATCTAGGAAAAATTTCACTGGCGTACTTATTGGTATGTGACAAGACGTAAGAGGGTCTCCGGTATAACCAGAGAGACAACTACAAGATGGTTGATGATTATAAACTTGGCATTGCGCGTTAATTCCGCACGCTCCCACACATGGATCCTTGCACTTGTTGTTAATACAAGCCTTCGTATGAGCGCAATCTGAATTCTGAACACATTCCGGTCTGCAACCCTCATAGGGATCACCAGTATAATCAGGTAAACAAGTACAAGATCCCGCGCCATTACGTTCTTTACATACAGCATTCGTACCGCACGGCGACGGATCGCACGGTAATTGCACTGGGAAAACAGCTATAAAGCAAAAATGTGTTTTTATCCGGAACATGCAATAATATATCAATTTAAGATCGCTAAAATTGTTAAAATCTTACCTTTGGCACAACCTGAGAAAGGATCTCCTTCATAGCCTTCATAACAATGACAAATAGGTCGATGATTCAACACCGTACAATTCGTGTTAAATCCGCACGATCCAACGCATGGATCTAAACACTTCTTTTGAATACAAGCTAAGGAACTAATGCAGTCCTGATCAATCACACACTCTGGCCTACAATTCGGCGGTGCTCCGAACATACCACTAATGCATGTGCATATCGGATGATCCTCTTGAACCCGACAATCAGCATTAGGCCCGCAAGGCGATGGTAAACAAGGATTCGTTGTTGGCGGTAAAGGTTCTGAAAAAAATAAAGTATAATGACAGATTAAGTAATATTTCAAAAAATCTTTTCATATAACTCAACAATAAATACATTATTTAATTCATAAAAATTAAATTTTAGCGAGTGCCTTTGATTCACTACGTTTCTCATTACAAACATGAATTACATCTTCTCAATCATTAGAGATGAGCTTTGCGTCATATGTTTTAAAATTGGAAAAATTAAATATTTTACTTTTATATCTTACTTCCTATAACAACGCAAGAATGAGCTGGAAAGGCATATTCTTTATTTAATAAAGGTCCACTATTAAACTATTACGTTAACACAATGTATTACCTTCTTTGACGCATTGCGTGAATGGATCGCCAGCATATTGACGAGGACAACTACAAATTGGATTGTGATTGATAACTTGACAATCAGCGTTCAAACCACACAATCCTGGGCAAGGATCATTACACTTTTGATCAATGCAAGCCAGATGAGCCGGGCATTCCGTGCTGACGAGACACTCCGGACGGCAATGCGGTGGAGTGCCTTGGTAACTCGGACTACATGAACAAACTGCACGATCTTTCATTACACGACAGATACTGTGTGGACCGCATGGCGATGGCATACACGGATTCTGATCTGGGACTACTACAAAAAATGAGATCAAATTAAACTTTTTATATTACATTAATATTGTATTCTTAGTTAGTATAAATATATCATTCAATTTTTATCGTACATATATTTTAGATTCAAATAAAATATTTTATGAAAAAGATAAATATAAAAGTTTTAAAATATCATATAATATTTACATTAATATTTAATTATGTATATATGTATATACATGAAATATTATTTATAAATTAACAGCTTATTACAGTAGATTTAAAAAGAATGTTTGGTTATCCAAAAAGTAACAAAATATTATAAGTATAATAACAGATAAAACATGCAAAGTATATAAATTGAAACATATCTACATACGAGGTTTCTCTACTTTACAGGCTCTAAACGGATCTCCAGTATATCCTGGCAAACAAGAACACATAGGAAGATGATCGACAACTTCGCAATGCGCATTAGCGCCGCATACGCCTGGACATGGATCTCTACAGTGTTGATTGAAACAAGCCAGATGACTTTCGCAATCCCGATTAATAATACATTCGGCTTCGCAACCATCTATATATGGATTACCGACAAATGGCGGTATACATGTGCATTTAGCTATGCCATCAATTGCCGTGCAAATAGCGTTTTTGCCACAAGGTGATAATAGACAAGGATCGTATGGTTCTTCTGGGCGTACTGCAACAATATAATTAATAGAACATTTTATTGTTAATTGTTCAATGTTTTATAGTTATATGTTATTTAAGATGTTTATCGCGAAAGTTTATTATAGAAGATGTTTGTATCGCAAATACTTTTTAATTTAATTATGAATTCTCAATTTATAAACAAGATAATTGAAAAGATAAAACATTTTAAAGAATTTTTTTACATAAAAAAATGTTTTAATTAAATCAGTGACTCCAATAAAATTGTAATGAACTTGTACAAATAAATTCAATAGTTTGTTTAGTTAAAAAGTTATAATTTTTAAGATATATATAATTTTAAGAGTTTTAATATTTGGTAATGAGTTCTTTCCATTTTATATTATTAAATTATTGATTACCTCCGCAACTCTTGTATGGATTTCCAATTGTGAGATCTGGACAGTAACAAGGTGGTACTCTCGTGCTATTGCATCTCGCTCCAAAACCACACGGATTAAATTCGCATTGATCGGCTTTTGGCACGCATCCTCTAATAGTATTGGGACTTTCAATGTAGCCAGGTAGACAGGTACACTTTGCAAAGCCATTATCCAACACAGAGCAACGAGTATTGGGACCGCATGGAGAAGGATCGCAGGACGTACTAGGAAGTGTACAGGGGAAATTCGGTGGATGACCTTCATATCCTGGTAAACAGAAGCACTTCACCTGTCCACTCACCACTCGACATCCTGAATTGGCACCGCAAGGATTACCTTCACATTGGTCACCTTCGGGAACTAAATAAATTACAAAATTGATTCATTAAAGGATTAATTTTCTTTATTCACTTACTCTCTCTCTCTCTCTTTCCCCCCCCTCTCCCCCTCTCTCTCTCTGTTATACTTGGATCTACATTTATAATTTAAAACAATAAAATAAACGTCATAATTATACGTCAAAAATGTATACATACTGCATTGCTCGAACGGACTTCCAGTTAGACCTTTCGGACAGAAACAAACAGGATTTCCATTGTCATTCTCGCATAAAGCGTTCAAACCGCACGGATTTGGAACGCAAGGATCGACAGTCAGCATTATCTCCTGACAGCCAATGTGAGGATTTCCTTGATAACCTGGAAGGCATGTACACTGCGCTTGATGATTACTAGAGACGCATTTCGCATTATCTCCACAATCAAACTCGACGCAAGGATTGATGCACTGTCTGTTAAGGCGATCGCAGTATTTGTTCGGAGGACAGTCTTCGTTATATTGACAAATATTTTTCATTTCTTCCACTGAAATCGTAAAATATGCTAATTTATTTTTGCACATATTTATACATGAATTTCTAACTAAATATTGTTGGCAATATTTGTAACTCTCATTTGTGCTAATAATTTGCATTAGATTTTCACATCAACTGTTCTGAATATTTGAGAAAATAATACCTATCAATAATTTATATTATATTAGGTGTTGGAATTAATTCGTAGCGTTTTACAAGTGATGGGAAGTACTTTCATTAATGTATTTTTTAATGCTCATGTGAAATAAATAATATTCTTTCATTAAAAAACGCTACGAATTAATTCCAACACCTAATATAATTTCTCATGCTTTATTTATTTTTGCATTATCTGATATCTCATTGTAAAACTTACACAAATCGCAATAAGAGAATCCATTTCCGTGATAGCCTTCTTCACAACTACAATCTGCTTTGTGATTTGTATTAATACAAACAGCATGTTCCGCACAAGGATTTCGAACTAGGCAGGGTTCCTGGCAAGCGTGCCCAATACACGCTTCTGTCAGAGGGCAATCCTTGTTGCTAGTGCAACCCGCTAAAGAAAGAGTGGGAAAGCCCATGTAGCCCCAGAAAGTGTAGTGCACAAGTATAAGAATTGAAATAAAGGAAATTTTCTTTGCGTAGCAATGTGTGATTTTCGATCTTTATGTGCGAAAAAGTATGCGAATTTTCGATCAAAAGAAAAACATTCTCTGAGATAAGAAAGACATATTCAGAAAAAATATAAGGAATATCTTAAAGAGATCATTCTTTGTGATCATGCACGACAGTAATAAAACTGAACATTTCGTGCTTTGTATAAAGAGGATCTTATGCATAATTTGCAAAATATGTACGTGAAATATGTACAGTACATACATATTTACAAATCTCTCGACGACTATAAAAAACTGAAAATAAAATCAGATGAAACCAAGTATAGTACTGGCGACAGTACGAACCTTTGATGCAAGTGTTTGTCGATGGATCGCATTGCATACCAGGTAGACAATAAGGACACTCTGTCTCGTTGGACTCCACTAAAAAAATCGTAAAATAAAATAATATAAATTTTGTTATTGCGGATGTGGAAATGTTCAATTCAATTGCAAATATACCTTTAACGCAAACCGGTCTATGATATTGAACATGGCAAGCTTCGATGAAGTCGCACGGATTACCCAAAGTGCATGGATTTACGCATTGATGATTTACACAAGCCAATTGGATGGGACAGTCGTTGTGCGTTGTACATTTCACGTCTAACGAAACAAATGTACATTAGGTGCAGGAATTAATGTTACGAATGATGAGAAAGTGAAATGTTAATGTACATGTCTCAATAGAAAATCTATTTGACCTCAGTTTTAACTGCCATTTTTGTATGTTATATCAAAAACAGTAGTTATAAAAAATGCACAGTTACTTGAATCTATCTCATGAGTATGTCAGTGCAATATATATAAACATAAATATACAAGGACGATGTACTCTTTCCTTTAAGACATATAGTGATATTTGTGTCACATATGTGTCAATAAGTATAGCAGCTAAAAAAAGACATTGATCGAAATCGTCTACATCGAGCGAAATCATCTTTCACACGCACGCACGCAGAAATACTAATTTATTTTATAATAACTCAATAATCCTAATTTTACACAAAAACTTTATAAACTTTGCAAACGACATACCACAATATTACTATATATCATGAGTTTGCATAAAAGATGATTTCCTCTAAACGCAGACGATTAAAATTGCAATTCATTATACACATGTTAGATACAAAGAAGCTGTAAGAGAGAAAATCGTGCATAAGCATTAATGTACACATGCGTAGAGCGCTAATGCAGCAGTCCTTTGTCTGCATTTGGGAAAACAGTGTCTGACTGCTTATTGACTATTTTCGATTCGGTCATCACATGGGACACACAGGTTCATTGTGAGCTGCCCTTATGATATCGATCGCATTTTCATTCATGAATTTACACCGATGAGCCATCTCATGAAATGACTAATTCGGTAAGCAGTGTCTACAATTTCCAGAATTGGTTGCTCCCAATTTTCATCTGGATACGATCGTATGGCCTCATACACTGGAGGAAGCTTGTAGAAAATTGGTGACAATAAACATAAAATGATACCACACTCATGAAACTCCCGACAAGAGAAATTTTTACCTGGGAGTATACTACAATTAGACGTACTCTGCTCGGTACTTGAGTCTAAGCACACAGGCCGATGATTTATAACGTCGCATAAAACATTCTTTGGACATGAATTATCAGTTTTACATGGATTCCGACAAAAACTATCGATGCAAGTTTCGCATTCTGTACAATCTGTATGTAAGATACAAAACATATCAGTTTTATTCTGGGTAATTTCAGACGTCGTATAATATTCTGTAGTCAGAGATTGCTCTGTAGATTTTTCAGATGTAATAAGCTCTGTGGTAGAATATTCTTCTGTGGAGTATTCAATTGTACTATATCGTATTGATTGCGTAGATGTGATGGACTGTTCAGATGGATATTGAAATGTGCTGTACTGTTCTGTAGTAGAGTTCTGTTTTGCTGTAGACTGTTCAAATGTGGTAGGCTGCTCAGATCCTACTGTAATGGAAAACTTTTCTGTGGTATAGATCTGTTCTGTAGATTCTTTAGTTGAAGTATACTGTTTCGAAGTAGTGTATTGCTCTGTTGGCTCTTGTGATGTTCTAAATTGTTCTGTTATAGAATATACTTCTGTAGAATATTTAGGTGTGCTATATTGCTCTGTAGTAGAGATTTGTCCCGTAGATTGCGAAAACGTAGAGTATTGTTCTGTTTGTTCTGATGTCTTAAACTGTTCTGTAGTGGTATATCCTTTTGTTGAATATTTCAATGTATTATAATGATCTATAGTAGAAATCTGTTCCGTAATTCCCTCAGTTGAAGTATATGGATTTGAAGAAGTATATTGGTCTGTAGGTTGTTGTGACGTTGTAAACTGTTCTATTGTAGAATATTCTTTTGTAGTGCTATATTTAGGAGTGCTGTATTGCTTTGTAGTGGAGATTTGTTCTGTAGATTGTTCAACTGTAGTGTATTGTTCTGTTTGTTCTGATATCTTAAATTGTTCTGTAGTGAAATATTCTTCTGTAGAATATTCCGAAGTATTATAATGTTCTGTAGTAGAGATCTGTTCCATAATTCCCTCAATTGAAGTATATAGATTTGAAGATGTATATTGTTCTGTAGGTTGTTGTGATGTTATAAACTGTTCTGTTGTAGAATATTCTTTTGTAGTGCTATACTTAGGAGTGCTGTATTGCTTTGTAGTGGAGATTTGTTCTGTAGATTGTTCAACTGTAGTGTATTGTTCTGTTTGTTCTGATATCTTAATTTGTTCTGTGAAATATTCTTCTGTAGAATATTCCGAAGTATTATAATGTTCTGTAGTAGAGATCTGTTCCATAATTCCCTCAATTGAAGTATATAGATTTGAAGATGTATATTGTTCTGTAGGTTGTTGTGGCGTTGTAAACTGTTCTGTTGTAGAATGTTCTTTTGTAGTGCTATATTTAGGAGTGCTGTATTGTTTTGTAGTGGAGATTTGTTCCGTAGATTGTTCAAATGTAGTGTATTGTTCTGTTTGTTCTGATATCTTAATTTGTTCTGTGAAATATTCTTCTGTAGAATATTTCGAGATATTATAATGTTCAGTAGTAGAGGTCTGTTCTGTAATTTCTTCAGTTGAAGTATATGGATTTGAAGAAGTATATTGGTCTGTAGCTTGTTGTGACGTTGTAAACTGTTCTGTTGTAGAATATTCTTTTATAGTGCTATATTTAGGCGTGCCGTATTGCTTTGTAGTGGAGATTTGTTCTGTGGATTGTTCAAATGTAGTGTATTGTTCTGTTTGTTCTGATATCTTAAATTGTTCTGTAGTGAAATATTCTTCTGTAGAATATTCCGAAGTATTATAATATTCTGTAATAGAGATCTGTTCTGAAATTTCTTCAGTTGAAGTATATGGATTTGAAGAAGTATATTGTTCTGTGGATTGTTGTGACGTTGTAAACTGTTCTGTTGTAGAATGTTCTTTTGTAGTGCTGTATTTAGGAGTGCTGTATTGCTTTGTAGTGGAGATTTGTTCTGTAGATTGTTCAAATGTAGTATATTGTTCTGTTTGTTCTGATATCTTATGCCCTGTAGTAGAATGCGCTTCTGTAGAATATTCAGATATACTATAATTGTCTGTAGCATCAGAGATCTGTTCTGTAGGTTGTGATGTTCTAAATTGTTCTGTTGTAAAATATCCTTCTGTAGAATATTCAAGCGTGCTATGTTGCTTCGTAGTGAAGATTTGTTCTGTAATAGAATGATCTTCTGTAAATGTACGATATTCTGTAGTAGAAATCGGTCTTGTAGACTCCTCAGTTGTAGTATACTGTTTTGAAGTAGTGTATTGTTCTGTCGCAGAAATATGAGTGGCTTTGTGAGAACCGTTATCATCAATAATATTTGTTGTAAATATAGGAGACTCAGTTGTTGTAGAAAATGAAGTAGTATCTTTTATATATGACTCAGTTGTATTAAGCGAATCAATTTTGACAGTGCTCCATTCTTGTGTGATTTCTTTGGCAATATCTGTGGATGTATACTCTAAGATATTCGGGGATGGTATTGTATGATTTGCTTGAGTAAAAAATGTTGTAGCAATCATTGAACTAGTGGTGCTTTCCATAGGAGGTTCAGTAATTTCTTTTAATGGTTTTACTGTTAATTCTGTGGTAGTAGAATATTGCGTAGTAGTAGTAAAAGATTGTATAGTTGTTGCTAATGTGGAAGTTTCTTCATCACTTACATTAGGAACTTCTACGATAGGAACTGTAGTTATATTTTCAGGAACTTCAGTAACGCTACTTGTTTTCAATGGCTTAGAAGTCGTTATTTCAGTATTTATGCCAGATACAGTAATATCAGTAATCTCGGTACGACTGAATATAACTGGAGAAGTGGCAGTGATATTTTGAAAGGCAGTTGTTCCAGTTATTTCGATTGTTGTAACATTTTCTTCATAGCCAAATTCAAATTCACTCTTTGTTGTCTCAATTGCAGTAGAAGAAGATACATTTCCTGTAAAAGTTTCTTCTGTATTATATATGGTTGGAATACTATGCGTCGTTTGTTCACTTTTAGAAGTAATACTACGTGCTGTTGTATATTCTGTTGAAGTAATTTCAATTTCAAAATTAGTAGTTTCGGACGTTGAAGTAGTAAAGGAACTAGATGTTACATTCTCTATAACATCAACGTTCATCGTCGAAATTAAAGTATCATTTAAAATGTTAATTTCGGTTGTACTTAATATCGAAGGTATGGTCATCGAACGTTCCGGAGACTCGGTAACAATTTCTATTGATACAATTGTCGTATCTGATTCACTTGTCGTTTCAATAGTAATATTTTCCAATAAATTTCCGGTAACGTCAGTTAAAGTACTATCCTCCGTATATGCAACTGTTAACATCTCCGTAGTATAAACGAATGGTGTGGATGGCGGAGTGCTCATTGTTGTTTGTAATGTAGTGTGAACTGTTTCAAAAGTGTGATCTAAATCTATAGAACGTAATGTCGTTGCACCATCAGGTGAACAATGTTTGTCGTTAAGTTCGCAATCACAAATAGGCCTGTGCGCTTCAACTCGACATTGAACTGCCAGTTGACACCCATTGATACAAGGATTAACGCAGGAGCTTTCGACGCAGGCTTCTGCGTCGCTGCAATCATCATCGGACTCGCAAACTGGCTTGGACAGGGGATGAAGAACTGCTGCGGATACAATATAATGTAAACATAATATCTAATAAAGTAGCAAAACTGCTAATCGGGGAGCGACTCTGATTAGGCTAAGCTACAGATAAGTTTACAGTTTTTATTTCAATTACTACAAATTAAGAGTTAGCATGCTCGCATATAATAGGTAAGCTGATTGTAAGAAATATATAAGTCTTTACAGAGACAGATGTAACGGAAGAATCCTTCAGTAGTAAGAAGATCGGCAAAGTAGAGCAGGAGTCTAAGGTATGGGAAACTTGTATCTGTAACTTGGAACCTAAAATATGCGTCCAGACAACAGAACAAAGAAACTTGTGCATCCAATTGCAACTTGACCAAACACGATCTTGTAATTTTAATAAAAAATTAAATTAAAATTTCAAGTTGATCAAAAGTAAGCAAGTTTTATATTCTGCTGTTTGCACGATCGGAAACCTGAAAAGTAGCAGTAGTATGTCTCGTGTAAGGCCAGGCAATGTAAAGACGTGATAACGGCTATGAGAAATGACAAGATTCAGATAGTGTTCTGAGAAATTGTGTTTACCTTTCATGCATCCGTATTTAGTATCTGGCACAAAGCCGGGGGGACAGAACTTGCAGATAGGCTTGTGCTCCTCCACGTAACAGGGGGCATCAGCCGGACAGGTAGAGTTTCTGCATGGGTCCACGCAGCGATAGTTACGGCACGCCAAATCTGGAGAGCAGCCACTGTCTCGCAGGCAAATGGAGAGGGAGGGATTGCAGTTTTTAGTGCAAATGCACACGGGACGGTGGTCCAGGACATCGCAGGTTTTATCGGCTGGACACGGTCTTTTGTTTCTTACATTACAGGGATTTTGACATTTCCCATTGACGCACGCAGTGTTCGAAGGACAATCGAAGTCTCTCGAGCAGGTAAGCGTGTCAGGAGCGCAGGTCAATTCCCCGATTTCGTTGACTACGAAGCCGTATTTGCAAACACACATAGGTTTGTGATTCCGCACCTGACATCTCTTGTTGACCTCGCAGGTATACCGAGAACTCAAACACGGGTCGCGGCACTCGCCTGTCTGCGAGTGGCAGGAGAGACTCTCCGGACAGTCGTAGTCAGAGGAACAACCGATGCTCGGCGTAGGTTTGGGATTGAGCGTGTCGCATTTAGAATCTGGATGGCAGGCCGTGTGGGGCATGCCGATATAACACTGCGGGCATGAGCAACGCGGCTTGTGCAGAACCACTCGGCACAGGGCATTGATCCCACAGGCACCGCGTAGCGCACACGGGTCCAGACATTGTAGATTTATGCAGGCTTTTTCATTGGGACACTCTAAGTCGCTGGTGCATTCGCGCTCTATTGTCACGATAGTGGTGTTCAAGTCGGTGTAGAGTCGGTGGATCGTGGGTGATGGGACAGGAAAAACAAAGAAAAAAGCATTTATAAGAACTGTGAAAAGAAACTTTCTCACAAATAACATAAACCACATGCTTTGTATTTATGATGAAAGTAGGGTAGGCTCTGTGAAGAGGTATAGAGTAACGACTTTACACTTTTTCAAAATATCAGACATCTTCTCAGAGAAATTACAATGGCAAGCAGCGATATTTACAACACAAGCCCCCACAGATTTCAGAATAAGAGGAAATAACAACCCGTGAATATCAGCAAATATCAAGCATGGGTATATGAGAATGTCCCTTTCGCAGTTCCCAATCTGTATTAATCCTAAAATAGATATATGGTGTCGACTGTAAATGTGTACCTCCTTGTATTCAAGTGGCACTATAAGGTCAAAGGCAAATGAGTGTCTTTTTGTTTATTCAATTATATCCTCAAGACAGATTGGATACTGAAATAAACATTCTACATATGAAGTTATGTGTGAGATATGTGTGGAACGTGTTCTCTCATCTCAAAATTATGTACAGTATATCCTATATTGTATAATATGTACAGATAATGTTGTACTTTTTGCTTGTAGGTAAAATATGTATATATATCCAATATCGTGGCGACATACTGCTCCAATCACATCTGTCTCTCGATGTTAAGATTTTCACTCGATTAATACGTTTATGTATTACTCAAGTCCTACTAAACAATACATGGTTATTCTACGGACCATGTTCCTGTGATTGTCAGTATTGCTCGCTAGTCACAAATGCTGTACATAAAATTAATCAACCGCGACTCGGTTAAAAAGTTAGTAGGCTGTATTTTCCTACCTGTTGTGCATTCAATATCTGGCGAACCGCTTGTACCTGGTGGACATCGGCAAACGAATATAGCTCCATCTCTAATACATTCGGCGTTCTTCCCGCACCCATTCGTTCGACAGTCTCCTAAATCTCTATCTGAGCTACCTATATCAACAAATCGTTAGTGATAGTATCAACCAAAAATAAATTGTTATAAATATTTATTATCTTGCCATAATATTAAAATATATTTTTAAGATATTGCACAGTTATACTTTGTCATATATTTTTTTAAATTTATTTATTTGTTGTAATAATGATACATACGTGTAAAAAAAATTTCCTCAATTTATTTTGATATTATTATTTCTCTCATTTATATATGTCTTGTCAGATCCAGTAATACGAAATATAGTACGTACATGCATGCATTGGATCGCCTGATGGATTATTCGGTGGACAATAGCACTGTGGCTGATTCTTATAAATTCGACAGGCTGCATTGATACCACAACGAGTGTCTTTGCAAAGATCGCCGTCGCAGAAACACACTTGATGTGGGTCACCATGGCATCCCGGATCACATGTGCACTCGAAACCATTTAGAGTTTCTCGGCATTTAGCGTTAATACCGCAAGGTCTTCGTAAGCATTCATCTCCACCTAAGAGTGATTAAAAAATCACGCGTATTAAAAAAGTTATTTTCGCAAATATAATTTTTATAAATGTAATAAACTTGCCTTTCTTGCAATTGATCTTCGGATTGCCAAAGTGTCCTGGCGGACAAGAACATTGTGCCTTCCTGTTGATCACACGACATTGCGCATTGAAGCCACAGACGCCATGCTGTAAGCACGGATTTGTGCAAACACCGTATTCGCTGCAATGTTTGTTTAGCTCGCAATCGTCATCGTGATGACACTCCAGTTGGTAACACTCCTGACTCGGTTCACCTTGATAGCCTTCTGGACATAAGCACACCGCTCGATGGCTCGAAACACGGCAAAGTGCATTTATTCCACAAGGCGATCCCTGGGCGGAACATGGATTCTCACACTGGCCATTTGTGCATGACAATGACGACGGACAGTCGGAATGAGTGCGACAGCCAATGAGGCATAAACCTCCATCGCATACGTATCCCTGTATTTAGTAAAACGTATAATTTTAATATTAATATATTAACGTTATTAATATATTAAGTCAAAAGATGATAATTTCTCAAAATTGTCTTGAAATTTACCTTTGGACACGCATTGTTGATGTCGCACTTGATGCGACATTTACTGCTATGACAGACTTCGCCGCAAGAACAATCATTCTGATGGTGGCAGTTGGTGGTGCAAAAGCCAATTTCGTCGCACTCACACGAGCCGTCGCAGGGAGTCATGGTCTTGGCACAATTAATTAGCGCATTACCATAATAATTTGCGGGACAACTGCATTGAGCCACGTGATTGACTACTCGACAACCGGCACACTCTCCGCACGCTTTGCCACCATCGCATGGATCTGAAGATCACAATGCAATTGCATTACTCAATTGAAACATTTCAAGTCTAATCTAATGTTTCAATGGTTGTGTTCGATTTTGACGTTCACGTACTATAAATTTCATTCTATATTTATTATATACGGAACGATGATAAAATGAAGTCTACTCATACGTGAAACTATACTTACTTCTGCATTGATTATTGATACAAGACTCATCGCTCGGACACGTGTTATCACTGCGACATCCAATGTCACACATGCGATTGTGACATATTTGATTTGCGAGACAATGATCATCGCTGTTGCATATCGCTTTGCAAATACTACCGTCACAACGTTCGTCGCTCAAACAATTCGCATCGCTGAAAAGATATAATCACTTAGTATCAAAATACTAAGAATAATTTTTTTATATGATTTGTAGTATTCTAACCTTCTGCATGTGGAATAGCACGATCTACCGTAACACGTTTGTCCTGGTAAACATTCAAGTTCAGATGAGCAAGGAAGGAACGTCTGCTTGCAACCAATATGAGCATCTCCTACCAACGGCGATGGACACGTGCATATCTTTTGATGATTAACGATTGTACATTTCGCGTTTACACCGCAGGCGCTAGTCAATGAGCACGAATCTGTAGGCAAAGAATAATTAAATAGAATAATAAAGGCTAATAACAATAATAATAAAAATATACGTTTTATACAAGAAAAATAAAATACAAACGAGCAAAAATAAATTCCAAATGATGTCCCTTTGACAGAATTACAAATAAAATAAAAATATAAAAAATCTCAATAGCCACCTACCAATACACTGATTGTTTATACACTCGTAACTATCCTGGCATTCAATGTCCGCTCGGCAACCGGAAATACATACTAATCCTTCGCAAATCTCGCCGCTTCTACAATCTTCGTCCCGTCTGCAAAGTGACTTGCAAATGCCAGAGTTGTCGCATCTCTCATTGCTCAAGCAGTTCGCGCTGGATGAACAGACAGGTGTGCAAACGCCAGCGATGCAAGCTGTACCCACGACGCAATCCCGATTGGCCTGACATATTGGGCCTGGTGTTCGCAAACATGCGACTTTGGCAGTTGGATTTGGTATGAAACCGGTAGAACAGGAACACGTAGCACGCTGATTGAAAACGGTACACTTGGCGTTTGGTCCGCATGGCGTAGCTTCACATGGATTTACGCATTTGTTTTCTAAACAAGCCTCATTCGCATTGCAGTCTTCATCCGCACGACAACCAAACGAACACATGTTGTTCAGACAGACGTGACCCAAGAAGCAATCATTGTCCAACCGGCAAGTCAACAAGCAATTGCCGCGTATGCATTTCTCATTCAATGCGCAATCATTGTCAACAGTGCAGATCGGCAAACAAACGTTCTCGCGACAGGTGTTGTCTCCGTTGCAATCTCCACTTCCGAGACATGACACTGGTACTATAATAATAGATGTTTTATGGAATGTTCAAAGAAATATCGAAGATGTTCAAATTTTGCAGAGTCATTCATATACTTACATCTTACGCATTCTACTTCGGAGTTGCCGGTAAAACCTGATGGACAGCTGCACTGTTTAATATGACTTCTCACTTTGCATTCGGCATTTATGCCACATGTTCCTCTTACATCGCACGGATCTAAGCATTGCCCGTTCAAGCAAATATCGGACAAGTTACATTCCTCATCCGATTGACAAGATGCTGAAACGATATTATTTGCGATATTATTAACGATATCATTAAATACAGTAACAGAAGAATTGCATTTCAGATAATTATTTATACGAAAACGTTGATTTTAATAATCAAAAATCGAAAAAATGAAAAATTTAACAATTATTTACTCACGTCGACAAATGCCTTCATAACAATAAGTATTGACCAAACAATCGATTTGTGACGAGCAAACTACTGGTCTCGGACGACATCCCACGCTCAGATTATTAGGATCGCCTTCGTAATCGGCACGACACTGACAACTTGCGGCATGATTGCTCGCAACACAATCTGCATTTGGACCACACCGAATACGTGCGCAAGTATCTAGAATAAGATTACATATATTATATAATAAATAAAATATATGTGTTTCAAATCCCACACACATGCACAAGCATTACATGTATTATACATAAAAAGAGGTAATAAAACTATAAAATGCAATCAGTGAAATAATATTATAAGACAAATTGGTAAATTCAAAACACATACCAAAACATTTTGGTACATTATTGATGTTGACACATTTGGCAGTTAATGGACAGTCCACGTCCTGAAGACATTCTACTGGCGGTTGGCAGCCGCTATTGTAAGCATCTCCGACTGTACCAGGTTGACAATGACACTTGAAATGTCCTCGTGTGTTTTCACACAATGCGCCTGGTGCACAGGGTGCATTCGCGCAGTAATCTATCAGCTTGCAAGCATGAGTGGGTTCTCCTGTATATCCAGGTTGGCATGTACAAACCTACATGAAAAAACATTATTATCATAAAAAGAACATTGTCAAACAAAACTCTAGTATAACGAAATAATTACCTGAACATGTTTCTCTGTTGTACAAATAGCATTCACGCCACAGGGATTATGTGCAAGACAAGCGATTCTGCATCTGTGAGAATCACAGATCTTCTCCTGTGTACAGTCATCGTTAACTTCACATTCAATAGGTTGACAACCAATTTTGTCGTCTTTAGCGTTTCCGAAGAAGCCATGCTTACAGGAACACGTCGCGGCATGATCATCAGCTTTGCATTCGGCGTTACGGCCGCAGAGTATTACATCGCAAGCTCTACGACACTCCGCCTTGATTGAAAAGAATAGGAAGAAAAACTTATATATCGGGAATTCTTTGTCAAATCGATCACTCACCGTTTCAAAATTGTACTTGACGTAGAAAAATCATCCTTGCAATAAATGCTTCAGGCATAAGTGCTGTTATGTAAACAATTGCAAATTCAAGATGGCGATGGATTTAACATGGCGGACATGAAGCACAAAAAAAGGAAATAAAATAAAGGACAGTGTCAATACTCGTTGAATTCACTTTAAAATTTATTTTCAAATGTGTCCTGATCACAATTCCGCTGTCAAACATTAGAATTTTAAAATGACCGACATAAAAGTGCAAAATATAAAATATTAGGTGTTGGAATTAATTCGTAGCGTTTTACAAATGAGATGGGAAGTACTTTCATTAATGTATTTTTTAATGCTCATGTGAAATAAATAACATTCTTTCATTAAAAACGCTACGAATTAATTCCAACACCTAATAGTTTAGAAATTTAATTTGAATTTTGCAATTGTTGAATTTTGCAATCCGCCATCTTGAATTTTGCAATTGTTCACATGCTTTCAATAGCTTATGCCTGAAACTACATTTGTGTGCAAGGTGGTTTTTCTACATCAAGTACAATTTTGGAACGGTGCCGCTGGGTGGCCGACTTGACAAAGAAATATATCATATATACACATACATATACATATATATATATATATATATATATATATATATTTCTCTAATAGAATCGATAAGAAAATAATTTTATCCGTAATTAAAATTTTATTTTTAATAAAACATAGGATTACCTGTCCAATATTATTCTTAATACATTTTTCGTCATATGAGCAATCATTGTCTGACGTACAACGTAATTCTTGAACACATATATTGTTATGGCAGTATTGATATTCTGGGCAGCTAGAATTACTTCTGCAGGTAGGCTGACAAAGACCATTAATACAGAGTTGATCGCCAATGCAATCTCTTGTACTTCCACAAAGGGCTGCAAATAGCAACAATCAGATTATACATGAAATTTATAGATTTTTAAAATATATGATTTATAAATTAACTACACTTCTTTGTAATTGTCGATGATTAATTTACCTGTGCATATCCCTCCGTTACATACTGAACCGGTTGCACACTGTGAATCACTTTTGCAATATTGAAGCGGAGTGCACCCAAGATTCGGATCGCCTGTGCCGCCAGGTTGACAAGTGCATACCGCGCTATGATTAAGCGATGAACAATCAGCACCATGTCCGCAAACGTTCGAAAGAGAGCAAGGATCAACGCACTTATGATCGAAGCATGCATCTGATGGACTGCAGTCACTGTGATAGTTGCACTCCAGATGAATACATTCCGTCTAAAACAAATAAGAAATAAATAGAAATAAGATAAATTTAAAGTAAAAAACTATAATTAACTATATAAATATTTAAAAGTTTAGAATATCGATTATAATAATAAATTATAATATACAAAATATTGTATCAATATTAAATGGTTAAATTTTAGAAAATTTGAAACTCAAATTTTTAATACTCACTGCCGGATTTCCTGTAGTTTGTCCAGGACATTTACAAATCGGAACATGATCATGTGCGAGGCATTCTGCATTTCTACCGCAAATGCCCGATGCATCGCATGGATTAGTGCATCTGTTATCAATACAAGCGGCTGAATTTGGACAATCCGAATCCGTGAAACAATCACCTGGTTGTTTACAACCCGTTTTGAATGGATCCCCTACTAAACCATGCGGACAAACACAGGCGAACGATCCCTCCGCATTTTGACATCTATACATTTTTTAAATATTTTATTTTAAAAAGATCTATGAATTATAAATTTTTCTTTTCGCATATAATTACTTGTAATCATAAGTTTCACTCACATAGCTGAGGAATGGCAAGGATTTTGCAAACATTCGTTAACGTCAGCGCAGATGTCGCCGACAAGAACAAAGCCAGAATAGCATTTACACACGCTGACGTGATCGATAGCTAGGCAATTACCATATCCACAGTTTACTTGATTGCAAGGACCTGACAAAACGAATAATCAAAAATTTTAAGGACCTTATAATCATTTTCTTTTCTAAAATTATAATTTTATCTGTTCTTATAAAATTAATCAAAATGAACGTAGTTATTTATTTATGCAAGCGTATTATAACTTACTGCTACATTTATTGGTCTCTTGGTTGCAATATTTATCCGTTGGACAGTCACTGTTAGAAAGGCACTCTACTTTAAAGCACCCTGAGGCATCGCCAATGTAACCAGGCTGGCATTGACAACCAGCAGCATGATCCAGAACGGAACAAATAGTATTTAAACCGCAATCGACAAAAGAGCACGGATCTGAACAGTTGTGTTGAACGCAGGCTTGAGTATCAGAACAGTCCTTGTGCGTGGTGCAGTGATGCGGCAGCACACAACCCAATCCTATAGGATCGCCCGCGGTACCTGAAGGACACGTGCAACGGTAAGATCCATGAAGATTGATGCACTCAGCACTTGGATGACATGGTTGATCATCACACTCGTTGATGTCCAGGCAATGTTCGGGACCGGCAATAAATCCGTGGCTGCATCTAAGAAAAGAAATTAAGCGTCATAAACCATTTAGGATAATTAGTTATGGATATTTAAAAAAGTAAGAACGCAATATATAAGTGATTAATAAAATTAATCAATAAAATAAGTCTGGATTGAAAAGGCAATACCTGCACTTGCTGTTAATGCATACTTCGTCGCGTTTACAACCGACATCGGAGGTACAGCCCGCCTCGCACGCTCCATCAATACACAATTCGCCGGGCAGACAATTACTGTCGCCGTAACATATCTTCACGCAAATGCCATTCTTACAGCGCTCGCCTTGCGCGCAATTGTTCTGTTCCGAACATTGACACTGGCATAATCCCGAAACACACAGATGCTGGCTGGGACAATCTTGGGGAGTTTGGCATACGTTTGGTACTCGAACGCAACCTTGTTCTGGAGTAGGATTACCATGGAAACCGAGAGGACATGTGCATGTGATCGCGTGATTAGTGCAACTGCAGATCGCATTTGGTCCACACACATCTTTTCTACTGCAAGGATCTAGAAACACACAAGTTTATTGTTTTTCTTTCAAGAACTACGACCGACATTATTTCACATATTGAGAAACAAATCATGTTTTTAAGTTAAGGGGAGAATCTCGTGTAACTAGTTCAAAAAATCAAAATTTTTTTTTTTAATCAATAATAGAACATATGTAGAAAAATGTTGTTACAATCGCAAAGAAATTCAGGGCCTTTTATAAATAACGGTTGTAAAATTAATCAAAGCTATCTTTATTGCTGCTCATATTTTTAACAAAGGTTACTATATGATTTCGAAAATAATGGAAACGCTGAAGAACAAAATTGAACAGCAATGTAAATTATTTACTGGCATGCATATCGAACGAGTAACTTCAAACGCGTTTTTCTCGAAACCAATTTTTAGAAATTGGTGGAAAAGAATACTCAAAAACTATTATTACACGACCAATCGAGTTGTCTCTATTGAGCATACATATTGTTTAATGTTATAATTTGTCGATGAACCTATAAAATTAATAAAAAAAATAATTTGAATTATTGTTATTATATAAATAGAAAAAAACTTTGTGAGCTAAAATCGTACTTTTCTTTAAGTACCGTCATTTATTCAATTTTCAACTTTTTGCTTATTTTTCAGGTTCATTGAATTTCAGGTAATTTCAGAAAATAAGCAAAAATTTTGATTTTTTTATTTCAGATAAGAACAAAAAGCACTACAATCCGCCAATGAAGCTATGTATATATATATATATATAGCCATTATATTATTATTTTTGAACTAAAAATTTTTTTTAATTTTTAAATTGTGAGTTAAAATGTATAAAATTTTTTAATTGATTCGCACCATTTCTTCAAAAAAAAAATTTCTAAAAGTTATCTATTTTTTAGCGATTTACATAAGACTCCTCCCTTAATAGATTTTATGTCTGTATGAGAATTAGTATACACATGTATGCAAAAAATCTATTTGAAATGGATCAAAATTATACTATAATGTAGTTCGTGACATACCTTGACATTTATTGTTGATACACGATTCGATAGTCGGGCAATTTTTATTACTGCGGCAGCCGAGGATGCACCCTCCACTTACACATGCATGATCTACTAGGCACTGAGAATGCGCAATGCATGACACCATACACTTGTTGTTAATACATTTCTCTCCGTCTGAACAATCAGCGACTGAACGACATACAGCTAAAACAGTCAAAATTCTCTGTTTCATAATTTGAATATTTCCAATATAGTGAAATATTTACAATGTTATCATAATTATTAATTGTTTATCTATTAAATCAGGATTACCTCTGCATTGTCCATCAATACAGTAGCTGTCTTCGCATTGGGCGTCAACTGTGCAGTAATTAGTACCCCGCACGCAGCCGTGTTCTGGACCTCTAGAGGATGGCACGAACCTGTGAATACACTTGCAACTCGGCTGATCATTTACGATCTCGCAGAATGCGTTAGGACCGCACGCATTCTCGCACGGATTAATGCAACGATGCTCATGACAGACGGAATGCACTGGACAATCCTTGGGACTAGAGCAATGTCCTTCCGGCTGGCAACCATTCACGTAAGGATCGCCGACATGATTCGGTGGACATTGACACACCGGGTTGTTCGTTGGACCAGCGACACACAACGCAGTGGGATGGCAAGAGTCCGGATGACATGCCTCCACGGCGACGCACTCGACGTCGGGTACCGGGTTCGGGCGAAGCCCAGGCGGACATTGGCAGATCGCTTTATGATCTTCCGCTATGCAAACCGCGTTTACACCGCATGCATTCTCATCGCAGGCGTCGTAACAAGTGTGCGTAAGTCGGTTGCAGAGTTGGGCCGGTGGACAGTCGATGTTGTAGACGCAGGGCACCGCGCGACATCCAGACGTTGAGTCATTCGGATCGCCGGCATACTGTCCAGGCGGACATTCGCAGTTCGCCACGTGGTTATTGACGACACAAAGTGCATTGGGACCGCAGGTGATAAAGTCGCAGACCAGTTGGCAAGCGAGCGGGCCGTCTGGAGCGCTACGACATGTCTGATCCTCCGCACACTCGCTATCCGTAGAACAACGGTTTTCGCGCGGGCTGTGACATCCCCGACGATCATTCGGATTGCCGATGTAGCCAGGTAGACAGTCGCAACGGCCGTGATGATTCTCCATCACGCAGCGAGAATTCGCGGTACAAGTGAAACCGTCGCAAAGCGACACACACTTTAATACGCCAAGCGCGTCCGGTCTACAGCCTTCGCTCGAGTGGCAGTCATCATCAGTTATACAATCGGGTACCGACGGCTTCTCGCAGGACGACTGCACCGGATTCCACTCATAGCCGTCCTGACACTTGCAAGTGGCGTGACCAGGTACGACCAAGTCGGGTTCACATTTTTGATAGGCGCCGCATACCACTTTATTGCAAGGATTTACACAGTCGCGCACGCCGCCATCCAGAGTAATGCAGAAGGAACCTACCGGACAATCCGAGTCATGTGCACATCCGGGAATTACGGATTTGGACGGTTGGCAACCCTCGATTAAATTGCTCGGATTACCCTGATAACCATCGATACACAAACAAGAGGACACATGATTCTGCGTGATGCATAATGCGTTCGGTCCACATTGCAGCTTGCTGCATGCATCCACGCACTTGCGGACGCCTTTGCCAACCTGGAAACAGATCTCCTGCGGCTCGCATTCAAGGTCGTTCAAGCAATGACCGTGCAAGTGGCAACCTTTGTGCAAATCATTGGGATTGCCGCTATAACCAGGCGGACATACGCACACTCCATTCTGACAAACGGATCTGGGACCGCATTTTATGTCGCTGCACTGATTTATGCACTTATGATTGACACAGATGTAATCGAAGGGGCACAATACAGTGTTACTGCAAACACAAGTAGAAGGATCAGAGCATGGTCCCACTTGTACTTGCTGACATCCAACGAACGGATTGCCGAAAAAGCCATCCTTGCAGCGACAGTCATAACTTCCAAGAGTATTGATGCACACCGCATTACTTCCGCATGCGTTTCCGTTGCATTCATTGATATCTAATAAAAAAAATACAAATATACATTCACGTATAGGTTTTTATATTTATCACTATTTACACTTGATGTCGTGAAAAATGATATGTTATATAAAAAATTAATTATATTTTTAAAAATATTCCATTACATTAGTTCCATTACATTTTAGTTGTAAAAGAACTGCGAAAGAGTCAGCTGAAATTATAATAATAAAAACTGACCAAAACATTGGATGTATGGATTGCCAGCGAAACCAGATGGGCAAAGACATTCGACAGCATTAGGACCCGCGTTACAATGAGCGTCTTTTCCGCACACCGCAGTAGAACAATCGGACTTTTCTTGAACACCACAGCCGTGATAAGGATTCCCACTGGTACCCGGATTGCAGACACACTTTGATTCCTGAAGACCGTACTCGCAATGTGCATTTTTCCCGCAGAATGGATCGCAATGTGGTGGTTGAATGGCTACGGAAAAAAAATTAAATTTTTCAACCAGGATAATATATGATTCAATGTTATTTTCCCTTATACGCAGAGGAACATTCACAGAATAAAATAAATATCTCTATCCTTTCACATAATATGTAGATATATTACGTTTGTAATACTTACGTGGCATACAAAGCAGATCGGGATTGCCGACAAAATAGGGATTGCATACGCATTTATTCGTTAAAGGATCGCACATGGCTCCGATGCCGCAAATCACCCCTTCGCAGCGCCGTTTGCATCGTCCACTGATGCATACGCTCGGCTCGGCGCACGGGATTTCAGGAGAGCAAACATCCGGAACGCACTGTCCACCAGGGAAAGGATTGCCCATGAAACCTTCGATACACTTACACGTCGGCCCGTCGTAACTAACGATACATTGAGCCCCAGTGCCGCAAACAAAACCGTCGCATTCTAAAATCAAAAAATGAAGTATTATTTCATCTAAAATTATAATAAAGATTTAGATGATAAATCGATAACTTACTGACTGAAAGTATTATATGAAAACTAAGCTATGTTTGTATTATAAATAATTATCAAATTTCTTTTTAAATTTAGATAAATCATTTATCCTACAACACCCATAATGCACATCATGTAAGAATTTTTCAAAATTTTTTTAATACATAAATATATGAGAAATAATTTTAATATGTAAAACTATCCAGATTTATAATAAATAATTTATAAAATTCATACTTACGTGAAACGCATTCGTTATTTTTGCCTTCCGTGAATCCGATTACGCATCTGCACCATGCTGCGTGTTTATCCGGCTCGCAATATGCGTTAGGACCACAAGGTACGTTATCGCAGGGATTGACGCAATTTCCTTGGACGCATGATAAATAGTTCTCGCAATCGTCATTTGACGAACACTCGCTTTTGCCGGTCGGAGCTCCAGTACAACCAGCACCGTAAGGATCGCCAATCATACCTTTAGGACACTCGCACGTGTGATCTCCTTTCGTGTTGATGCAATATGCACCGTGTCCACAAGGATTGTTCGCGCATTCGTTTACATCAATACATCCGTGCTGCGGATCACCTTCGAAACCAGCCTCGCACATGCATCGCGGTGGATCGCTCGGTGTGCATTTTGCGTTAATACCGCACGGGAAACGATCGCAAGGATCTACAATAATAGAATTCAATTATAATTAGGCGTAGAAGACATTACGATTATCATTGAAAATTTATATTACGTTTGAGCTGTTCTAATAATGTGAAACTTACTTTTGCAAAGATTTCCATCTAAGGGATCTGTGTAGAACGGCGGTGGGCACACACATTCTCCAGGCTGCACGCATTTCTCATTAGCTTTGCATTCGTGATCGTTGGTACATCTCTTCTGTGCCGGAGAACAAAGCCCATTGTATGGATCGCCACCGTATCCGTGTGGACATACGCATTGATGAGAACCTGGTAGGTTGATACACTCGGCACCGTAGCCACAGACTTGGTGACCCACGATACATTCATTTATATCTACATATGAAATAATATTTTTCAGTCGATCGTATCAAATACAATTATATTTGCTTCAAATTGCTGTCAGTTAAATTTACAAAAACAAAAATAAAATTTCTTTTAAACTATAATCACTTTGTCATACCTTCACAGGAGCCATCAGACTTGGTCGTGTATCCCTTAGGACAGGCGCAATAACTGACACCACCGGCAATTGTTATACACTCAGCACCACTTGGACACTTTTCGCCCTTCGAACATCCAGCAAGCATGCATTTACCATTGACAATTTTGTACGGAGGTTGACATTGACATTCGATGCTGTTGCATTCTGTAATTTTTATAATAAACATTTTTAACAATACTGACGCACATTTAATAGATAATAATACAATTATTAAAATATCAAGGCTAAATCAAGAGTCCTACCTTCGCAAAGTGAGAAGGGATTTCCGTTGAATCCAGGTGGACATTGACACTCGTAACTGCCAGGGAGATTCTTACAAATTGCGTTGACACCACAGGCAGGCTTCTCTCTGAGCTCCATACATTCGTTAATATCTCTGCATTTACCGGTCTCGTGATCGCGCGTGTAACCACGTTGACAGATGCACACACTGCTACCCACGAATTCATCCTTGATGCATTGTTCTCCAGCGGGACAAGGCGCACTGGGACCACACACGTGAGGTGTTTTAGATTCCTGGCAACCGCCACTGTAAGGATCGCCCGTCATGCCACTTGGACACTGACATGAGAAGGAACCGGGCTCGTTGTTACAGATTGCGCCCGGAGGACATGGATTTATCGCGCACTCGTTGATGTCTCGACAACCATCCTTTATTCCGGGCTTTCCTGTGTATCCGTTGCTGCAGAGACATGTCGCCACGTCGTTCAAGAGCATGCAATGCGCATTGGGTCCACAAGATAAATCTTCGCATGGATCTGATTAGATAGACACGAGATTATGGACTGATATTTTATTCACAAAGACAAATCTCCAACATTTGAAATAAAGATAATTTCATTTAACTTTTAAATAATATATCATATTACATACGTCTGCAATCATTCCCGACGTTGGGCTCAGGACACAAGCATCTTTTTTGTAAATCACAAATAGCGTTTCCTGGGCAATCATCGTCAATTTCACATCTCACTATGCCAACGCATTTAATGTAAGGATCAGGATCTGGTATGGTTTCTTCCGGACAAGTGCAAGAGTAAGAACCTTCAATATTGGTACACGTTGCTCCATGACCGCAAACGTTAGATTTCGTACATTCGTCAATATCTGTGTATTTATTTAAAAAATATATAAACACAAAACTAACAAAATAATTAAATTAATAATTCTTATAAATAATAAGATAGGAAACAAGACCGTTTATATTAAATAACATTACAATCCGAAGCGCCACTACGGTCTAAGTATTAAGATGTTGAACTAATATATATATTATTCAAACGAATGAATTAATTTCAGAAATAATAATTACGTGTCGATATGGTTGTCGACATTAACGCAATTAATCTGAAATGTAATAATCCCCCCAAAATTCCCCAAATTAATCTTAAAAAACTGTAATAAACTTTTTTCGCAATAAGTTTATTACAGTTTTTTAAGATTAATTTGGGGAATTTTGGGGGGATTATTACATTTCAGATTAATTGCGTTAATGTCGACAACCATATCGACACGTAATTATTATTTCTGAAAT